CAGCCTCACGATCGAGGACCGTTTTCAACAAAAACTCAACTCTCGAGGACTGAAAGGATTTTTTGTTCTTCCTTTGTGTGTCTGTCCTCGATCGCAAAGCCATGCAAGAGCACCAGTATGTCATGAATAATTCAGTATGTGCTAGGCAAGTCCCAACCAATAAGGAGCGGAAATGTTAATGATATTCTTTTCCACCCTCGGAAAAACGTTTGCAAACGGGTTACACCAAGGATTATCAATCAAAGTTTGTTTGAAGCCTTGGTCACTTTGATTTGTACATTTTCATCAATCTTATTTTTCCCAAAGATTCCTGAAACTAGCCTTGGCGTGTTGTTGTTTTAATATTACCTCTTTATCAGTAATTCCATCTTATGAATGTTTTCTTCAAGGGTTACATGGCATCTCCAAGATACCCATCCTAAATAAGCCATAAGAATTTAATATATGCTTGGAAGAATCCGCTGGGGAGCATGCAGAGACTAATGGCTATTGGGAGTCATTCCAACCCATTTATTTTGCTTATTCTGCTTATAGGTTATTATGCTCATTTGCTTTGAGACGCAAATTCACCAGTCGAATATTTATGAAATTTCAGTAAAATCTGGGCATGAATTTATGCACGGCTGAGCATAAACAACACAAGGTCCAGCCCAAGACCTTGACACAGTGTATCCTCCCAAATCAGCCACACACTTTTGCCATATAACCTCAATCCTGCAAAATCCTCCATTTTGCAAAGACGATTTTGGAGGATTTGGGAAGGTTAGGGTTATTGTGGAGTGCTTGTATACTTTATGCATACACGAGGCAGTCATAAATAAAAGAGCAAATAAAATACCTTCTCCAGAATCTGGAACAAAAGCACCAAGATGCATGGCTTCTATGCACAAGATCCCTCCCCTCCTCTCTTAGAACTGTCATCTAATTTCCCCTCACATATCGAAATATCAAACAGATTTTTTTAAAAGGAGAAAAAAAACCTCATATCCTTTATCGTGTAAAGTGAAACTTCTGGCCACTTTGTGCTACACCAATTGATATGGTCATCACCAAACATTGCCAATGGTATAGGACGGAGAAGTAACATTTACAGAAACGTTTCGGAAGTCAGTCAGTGGTCAGTATTGTGGTGTCTATGCTAGGCGATTCTGAAAAAAGGAGAGATACAGACACTACATCTACCTAACTTTTGGGTTTTTCCCGCATCGTTTAGATCCTAAGGTTTAGTCTACCATAAAGAGCAGTGAAGACAACTCTCCCATTGTTCATCATCTTGACACCAAGTTGGTTGAGAGAGTTGCTCTGAAGCAGTCGGTGGAACAGTATGGGTCAGATCTGAGTGCTGTTTCCTTTTAGAATCATTAACAAGACCCAGATACGAGATACAGCAAAAGAACAACATTGTCTGACCTCATTTGAGTGCATGTAGACATTGGGAGCGTGCCAATTCAAAGTAAAACAATTATTCTTTTGTAAAAAAAAAAAAGTTTTAAAATGGTGGCACAAGTTCAGGGATAACTAAATGGATGAAATTTTCTCAAGGTATTGAAATAGGATCTGGGTAACTTGGCTGGCAAAGTATTGAAACATTTTGATGTAGAAAGGTTAGATTGCAACCCTGACTGCAGCATTAATGGGCAATATTGGAAAACATTAGCTAACAATCCAGGAAATCGCTTCCATTTTCCAATGTTTTGTTTCACACATTTAGTCCCAGTTGGAAAAATGTTGTCAGCAGCAGCAAACAAGAGTAGCTCTGATAGACATTATGGTACATGGCCTATAAAGGCCAAAAGTGAACAACTGAAAAATGGACAAATTGTTAAAACAAATATGCCAGACAGGTATCAACTGAGCATTTATTGATTCCTCATCTTGCTTGGTATAAGAATTATTCCATGCACCACTACACGTGGCTAAGGAATTGAACACCACACTTTATTTTCTGGTTTTTACTGAAATCACAAGTTATCATTTACCCGTGCTCTGATGGATATGTTACCGTTCTAATAATTATAAATATTTTCTTCCACCTTTCCTTTGATGGAAAATGTAATTGAATTGAAATCGGTGTTGATTTATATCAAGAATTGCATGAGTCAGCGACAACCTGTCTAATAAAATATTTGGTGCTGTGCAAGTTTTCGACAAATTTGTTATACTTATCACATGTAATCAGTGCAATAATTAAAGTCTTAACTATTGAAAATATTGTTAAATATACCCTCATCATTGGTGGATCCAGACACTTAATCTTCACTTAAAGAAATAAATGGATTATTTCCTTCTAAAATGAAGGTTATTTTAATTTGATTCAAATAACAAAAGTGCTCCGAGTTTTGTTATCCCACTTTTTATCAAATATTTCCATATTATTTCACTTCAAAAACCTGGATCAACCATTGATTCAGATTTATAAACATACTTGTGCAGTAAAATGTGCCATGAAACATCCATACATCAACACAAAGTAAATTGGTAGAACCACAGTAAATTGACCTCAATTTAAGATAATACTTTCAGACATTGAGAACATTAGAAACCATCTGGCTTATAAATTGGCTATACTCTCATGCAAAATTACTTGTAAAAGATTTTTTTAATCTGCATTAACAAATAATAGACCTTATGCATTGCAGGCATCTAAGACAGTCTTCTTTGTTTTGTTTTTCATTCAGTTACAATAATTCAGAAGGGTTTGCTAATGCCTATTTCAGCGACACAAACATCCTAGCCCTCGTTCTCTCTGCCTGTCAAACGCATAAGGTCCATGCTTACTGCTTATTACAAAGTACCACTAAAGCAATGTAACAAAGCCACTCTAGATATAGTTTCCCTCAGTATCATTAGCAACATAGAACCAACCGTTTACTAATTAAAAAAAAAGTAGAATTAATTTTTTTCACTTGATATAATGTGTGTTTTGTTTTCTGCAAATAAATTAATAGTTTTAAATACACACACTACTGTGATGCTATTTTATCGTAAAGTTGCGGTGTTTTATTGTCAGGCGCCACTTTTTGTTGTCGACGGGAACCTTTTGGTTGACGTTGGTTCATCGTTCACTTCCATTGATGAGGTTTTAACCCTTTACAGTTATAAAGGGTGAGTAAAAAATCGAAACCCAAATGTCGGAACCACTGTTAGTTAGTACAAGAATCATTCAAATCACTATGTCCTTTTCAAGTTGCGGAATGATAAACACAAGCATCGTTTGAAAAATTTGTCCACGGATCACAAAAAGGTAAGTGCTTTTTTTCAGCAAAACGAAAACAAATAACATAGGGATGTGTGTGAATTGTTTTCATTTTGCTGATAGAACGCACCCCTTTTGTGTGATCCGTGGACAGAACTTTAAAACGGTGGTTGTATTTAAAATTCCGTAACCTGAAAAGTACATAAGTGATTTGAATGATTCTTGTAATAACTGATAGCTTATGAATTGGGCTTTTATATCCTACATTTTGAAAGTGCTCCATGCAGAACTTCACTAAAACAATAGTCCCGACATTTGGGTTTCTTTTTTTCTACTCACCCTGTACATGTATAGTACTAACTGCAAAGCACTCGATTGTTGCACGCAAATGTTAATTGGCGCCCTCTTTGTGCAACTTTTTACCGGCGCAGCCCACAGTTGCAGCCGGAAGTTTTGAAAATCCAAATATTCGGTTAAACGCAGTTTCGAGTAATCGATACTAAATTATTCGAAATTGTACAGCCTTATATCTTACACAGTTACATTATCTAATGTCCATATCATTTGTTAAAATTCTTTTAAAAAAATCTACACATATCAATATCACTAATAATCTACTTTCCCTAAAATTAATCTGCATAAACCTTATCCTGCAAAGGTTAACATGTAATTTAAAAATCGCAACCTATTAGTACATTCAGTAAAACGGTAAACACAAAAAAATGACCAATATATAACATAGTCCAACACAGCTTCGCAAACTTAATATATTCATACTACAAATATGCATGCATTATTTCTTGCTACACAGCTACATTTTTTTTATCAAACAAGATATCAAGTAACAGTTATCACCAAACAATATAAAACAGCTCAAGATTGCTCCATTTACTGCCTTATTCAGTGATTTATATCACCCCGACGCAACATTGCATATTATAATAGTTTATGCGGTACCTGCTGCTATGTACATTAGATTCGAACCGACCAACCGATCCCGTTTGCTCGGTGGTCGAGTGGTAAGACATCTGCACTAGACAGCAGGAGGTCATGGGTTGGAGTCCCACCCGAGTGATTTTTTTTCCAACTTTCACTCGGGAGGTAACACACTGAGTATACAGTGTTCAAACGTCGGTGATGGGCAAAACCTAATTTGATTTATATCGCCCCGACGCAAAAATTCCATCTTATAATCATTTAGAGCATGTCAATTAATTATGGTGGATGTGGGGAAAGCGGATTGGATGTTCATGGTCATATGTTCCTAATAGGAACTTCATCATCTTAAAAAGAAAAGTGCTTATATGGCACCCCTATTGTTTATGTGGTCAGTTGCTGCTCTAAAATTGTTTGTACCAACGAGACGTGGATTTCTAATGAACTGGAAATGATTGGAATTAATTAAAGTCTCATTCTGACGTCATCATGTGTAGGCATTGAAATCAATGAATATGAGGTCCCTTGGACAAGCTCCATATTTTGTCAATGCCTCTAAACGAGCATGACCTTTGAATTACGATATCTCATATGTTGGAGCTAGATATCAAACTAAAAATGTTGGTGAAATGTAGAAATCACTTTTTTTCTCCTTTTAAGAGTTATTCCTTTATTTAATATGAAGTAAAGAATTGAATTGACGAAAAAAAGGAAATTCGTTGTATTTCTGTTAACGATCTTTTTTTTAGAAAGAATTATTCCAACATCACTAATTACATGTATTACATTTCTCATGACCACTAACACAACTTCTCATGACCGCATACACTAGTTTCTTTAAAAGGCACCAATAATTCTTTCAAATTATCTACATGGACTGATTGTATCAACATGGTACCAATTGATTCATTTTCAACACAAGCGCATGCATTTCTTCTTAAAAATTGTACCAATTATTTAAATACACAAAGCTGTATAATCTAATGCAATATCAGCATAGTATATGTCCGTTCATTTCATCCAACACAGATATATTAATTGTACCAACATAGTGACAATAACACAGGTGCATATCCTTTTCTCAACAAACAAATTATTTCATGAGGTACAGCATCAAACATTAATTTGACCAATACCAACGTAGTACTTAATAGCCTAAACTCCCATCTCCGGGAGGGGAATAGATATTTACATTTTTTTTCTTTCTCACTTTATACGTACCAAATACTAACTATATTTTGTCAAAATGCTATCATATATTCAGTGTCCTCATTTTGTGAAAAGAAACGTACCACAACTTTTTGTCATTTGTATATACCCTCAATTAAAAATCTTGTCATTTCCTGTTAAAAATATGTCTTGCCAAATATCGATCACCAATAACAGCTTTACTGCCCCCCCCCCCCCCCAATGGAACTTGTCAATGGATACAAATCAAATTTCTTCATTTTTAACACCCTAATTTTCCTGTTTTTCAAAATGTTTGATTTTCATCGAACAGCTTTTCAGATTATAGTAATTTTTCCTCCACGATTTCCATACTATACCACCCTTATTGGTTCCTTGCCCAAATCGTCCATTCAAATTAGATTGATAACATCTCCTGTACCACCATGCTCCTGTGCGAAATCTGGCACAGAAAATATTTCCACTTAAATCATTGTCCTTGTCTTTTGTTGAAAACAGCATTCCATTGTGATTTGTGAGTGAGTCTCCTGCAGTGCTGTTGGTATTGTATAAATTGACTTGGAGTGTGTAGTTGTCTCCATGAATCTGAAAGTCGTCATATTCAGCCCAGGCCGTGTTATTCTCCCAGTCCTCTAAGTCAATTCGTAGCTGCCACTTACCTTCAGTCTCGGTCAGGCTGCGTAGGTTGTCATTCCCAAGCCAGAACTCACCAGACAAGCTGCCAAATCCAACCTGGTAGTCAGTCGAGTTGCGGTAGAAGTCAACGCTGCCATCTTGACGCCTCTGAATGACGATCCATCCTCCACCATCAGTCTCCATGTCACAGTAGACCTGCAGCCCATCATTGAATCCAGCTGGGAATATCGTGTAGATACCACTCGCATTATGACCAGCTTGAAGGAACTCCTCACAACCTCTGAACTGGGGCACAGAGAAGAAAGATGTGTCTACATCGTCATCAAAGTACACACTGCCGTAGTGTGTAATGAAATCAGCAGGATATTGCATCCTTGTCAGATTGTTCATTTGACAAAGTTGATCTGTTTTATGATAATTCACAGATCGGCAGTTGTTATCAGCATGACAGTAGCTAACACAGCGGACAGCAGACTTGACCTGTTCCTGTCTAAATGTAGAAGTCTGAAGTGCACAATTGTCTGCTGCAATAAATGTTTGTTTCATGTTGCCACAGCGATCTCGTTGGAAAGCATCCACATGAACGAGAAAAGGGAAGATCACCACGATCATTAGAATCTGGTTGCTAGGGCCGTCAAGACATGAACGCCATGGTTTTTCCATATCGAGATTATTTTGATCAGATTAGAAAATTTGAACCATTTGGCGTTCTGACACTTTAACACGACTTAATACATCTCGGGGTAGACAAACATGCTCAGTATTGTTGTTTGTCAATTTCCGAGACAAAAAGGTTTTGTCGATATCAGTGTAAGATGTCAAATGGTAGAGTGTGGTAAAATTGCTCAATTTTCTGAAGTGAGAAGCAAAGACAGCAGTATCGCCGATGGACGTGGGAAGGGGTGATTGGTTGTTTCTGGTCACATGTTTAAGGCTCTTTATTACATCAAACGTGGTAACAATGACCCAGTGAATAGCAGTTTTCCGGCTCGACTTATTCAATAAATATTGCCTGGCAATGGCTCTACTTATTTGCCTGTCCTTGCAAAAGTGGTGCACTTGATTGAAACTAATTTGATATTAGCATTGAATGCGTCACGCACCTATTCTGCGGCATGTTATTATCAGTTTGAAGACATAATATGAAATAATAGGCAAATGAGACATTAGTCACGCAGTTTCCAGTGTAATTTGTTAATTTGCAGAATGGGGTATATTAAATGTCATTCTTTATGATATCTATCGTCAATAATACCCAAGGATATTCCCCAATACAACCAATATGCATTGTTCCAACAACATAAATTATTACATCCAAAATGTTAGAAAATACCTTTACAAAAACAATACTACAATACACCCAAAACATCTGTATGGACTTATTGTACCATCACTAATGTGAACATTTTGCTTCAACAGCGATACGCTTCAGTTGTACCATGATACCATTTTTTTTTTACTCAACACAGCTACATTCAATATATTTACAGAGACAATACCTTTGTGCAACAAAGTCCTACACACTGATTGTACCAACAAAGTACAAATGAATTTAGCCAGTATAGCTGCAAGCACGAGTTTTACCAACATTTCATCCATTTGTCTGAATTTTGTGTGTTTTGTCAATATTTTACAAATGCTATCCCACTGTGTTTGTAGATATACATTAAATGACTGTAGAAAAACGACAAACACATTTTTGGAGTATTCTGTCTTAATGAAACTTGCAACACTGCATTTCATTTCCATCTGATAGTCGCCATTCTTTATAAAACACAAAATCCCAATGATATGCTTCTACAGTGTTGCATTATCAATCAGTATCCCTGTCCCTCCTCCTTTTAAAGAAATGTTGGTTGTTCGTTTGACAAAGTTGTTTTGTCTTATGATAATTCACACATTGGCAGTTGTTATCAGCATGACAGTAGCTTAACACAGTGGACAGCAGACTTGGCCTGTTCCTGTCTAAATGTAGAAGTCTGAAGTGCACGATTGTCTGCAGCAACGAAAATTTTCTTGAGGTTACTGCAGTGTACTTGTACCAGTGCAAACCCGAGAACCGATGCTTAGCAAAATATAAATAATATCACTGTCACAAGTTCTTGACATGTAGGCCTACGCGGAGAAAGCTGATTGGCCGCTTCATGTGTAAGCCTTAAATTGATTTCCTCACCTCCAAACGTAAGGTATGGCCTCAGAATTAATATTGCGTTCTAGTATTCCAATTATTGCCTGCTCTCTAGAAATGGTTACAAAATACAATTCAATAAACCTCCGAGACGTAAATTACATTCTGCACAATACCGTGCAGTTCACTTAATGGTAATTGACAGGAGTTGATTCACATGTCGTCGCCAAGGCGTCCTTTGTTACCAGCGGCAGTTTCCCTCGCCTTGCTCTAGATTTGATGGATGCTCGTGTTCAACCACATATTAGATAATTAAATTTGAGATATCTCAGGCTTGAATTTTCATGTAAGGTTTTAGTCTTTTACTCTAATTCCAGTAATCATTACACAGAAATCTAAAATTAAGGGGTGAATAAAATAGTCACCATTTTCAATTATCATGCTATTTTCATGGTTCTGATGGTTAAACAGTGTGTATCAAAGCAGGTAAATCGTGCGTCAATGTTTTTGCCGCTCATTACTTTCTCACTACTTTTGCATTTGTGTGTCAGGTTTTTGACACCACAAAGCCGTTATAATAATAATGAGGTGATAATATAGCGCTTTATACCAAAGGTCTCAAAGCGCCTTGCAATTATTACCCCTGTTCATCAGGCCATTAGACCATTATTATGTTGCAGCAGCTCGAGATCAGCGCATTCTGGTCTCTTACTTGACATGAACAGACCAGCACGCGGGAATATCAGACGTACAATTAATGCAGGAATAGACAGGAATCTAACTTACGATCAAACAAATCGTGAAAATGTTAGTAGAGATTCTAAATACCAAAAAAAAAAAGCATGATGACGTCATCACTTGAAAGGAGCCCCCTAGCGGCACGTCATAGAACTTTTTAAAAATTCAAAACCAGTTGTCAATTTTGTTTTTACTGAATTGCTCCTAGATTTTCTTTGGACAAACGCAAATGACTTTGCGAAGTTTCAAGACGTCATCATGACGTCATCAAACCGGACGTTATTACAAGGAGAATCAGAAAATGATCAATTTTCTGTGGGTTTTTTTGCAAATCAAATTCATCATTTGATTAATTCGTATCCAGTAAAGATGTTCGTGGCATCATAATGGCACGAATATTTTTTTGGTCAGCTACACTGTTGCTGTGACGTCATCAATCAGGAAGTAAAGTGTTATCAATCCATACATTCGTGTCATTTATATATTTTTAAAAGATTTTTCACTCTGATAATAATAAACAAAAAAAGCATTTGTAAAGCGCCGTATCCGCCTTAAAAGGTGCTCATGGCGCTTGAGGAGAAAGTCAAGTTAGGATTGTGTGTTGTGAGAGTAAGCTTGTTTGTACTGGTGAGATTTTATGTTTGTCTTAAACGTTGTGATGGATGGAGATGATTTGATAGCCAGAGGGAGTTGGTTCCACACTCGGGCTGACGCTGCAGTAAAGGATCTGGGACCCCATAGAGTGGAGGTCCTGGGCTCGTGAAACATCATGAGCTCACTGGAGCGAAGTCCGGTGCGTGCTGTCTGTTGAGTACGGGTGCATAAGGTGGACGAGTTTGATGAGATACTCTGGGTTATTGTTGTGGAGAAGTTTACAAACCAATAGACCAAGTTTGAATTTGATTCTGTATGATACTGTATCAAATTATATTTCAAATTACAATGCCACAATGTGCATGTGAAAAGAGAATCACTAAATTCTTGATTTATAATGACAAAAGTCATGTGTTTTATAACCCATTGTCTATTGTATGACCATTGTATATTATTGTCACGCACTTTTCAAGAAAAGTTGTATCATGATGGTGTTAAAAGGAATTATACTAGGCTAAAACTTCTTTTTGCATATTAAGATTTACAAAACGATGACAGCTTTTCAAGAAAGATCCCATGGATGTTTGGTACCTTTAAAGTGCCAAAGTCATGTTTACTCTGCTCCACTGTCTTTATTTTATATTTAATTTACCAAACAATTTCTAAGCCAAGAAACATTAGCTCACCTCTTTTCCAATAAATTTCGAAGAGGTAGGGATAAAATAATCTGAATATCTCCCTATAAATCATGTCTGGCTCTTGAGCGTATCCCCACGGTACCCACTCTATATTTACAGTGTGTGGTGTGTGCACGCACAGTCGCGAATTTCTATACTCTCAAGAACAATGCTTTGAGATTCCCTTTGTCCCTGTAATATAAAACTCTCCCATAGACTAAGCACTCGAGGACTGAATTGATTTTTCGTTCTCCCTTTGTGTGTCTTTCCTCGATCGCAAAGCCATGTGCTAGGCAAGTCCCAACCAATAAGAAGCGGAAATGTTAATTATATCCTTTACCACCCTCGGGAAAAACGTGCGCAGACGGGTTACATCAAGGGTTATCAATCACAGTTTGTTTGAAGCCTTGGTCAGTTTGATTTGTTCATTTTCATCAATCTTATTTCTCCAATTGAATGGAGCTAAGATTCCTGAAACTAGTCTTGGCGTGTTGTTTTTTAACATTACCTCTATTTTAGTAATTCCATCTTATGAATGTTTTCTTGGTTACGTGGCATCTTCAAGATACCATCGTAAATATGCCATAAGAATTTAATATATGATAGAAGAATCCGCTGGGGAGCATGCGGAGACTAATGGCTATTGGAAGTCATTTACAATCCATTTATTCTGCTTATTCTGCTAACAGAAGGGTTATTATGCTCATTTGCTTTGAGACGCAAATTCACCAGTTGAATATTTATGAAGTACATCGACTTGAGCGACGGAGCTAGGCGGAAGATGAGGGCGGGACATACTAGGAAGTCCTAAGTAGGCCTTCCCGAAGGCAGAAAGAGAACAACTGCAAAATAGACAAATTGTTGAAACAAATATGCCAGACCGGTGTCAACTGAACATTTATTGATTCCTCATCTTGCTTGGTATAAGCATTATTCCATACGCCATTACAGGTGGCTAAGGAATTGAACACCACACTTTTCTTTATTTTCTGGTTTTTACTGAAATCACTGAAGTTATCATTTACCCGTGCTCTGATGGATATGTTACCGTTCTAATGATTATAAATATTTTCTTCCATCTTTCCAATGATGGAAAAAATGTAATTGAATTGAAATTGGTGTTGATTTATTTCAAGAATTGCATGAGTCAGTGACATCCTGTCTAATAAAATGTTTGGTGCTGTGCAAATTTTCGACAAATTTGTTATACTTATCTCATGTAATCAGTGCAATAATTAAAGTTTTAACTATTGAAATATTGTTAAATATACCCTCATCATTGGTGGATCCAGACACTAAATCTTAACTTAAAGAAATAAATGGATTATTTCCTTCTAAAATGAAAGTTATTTAAAATTTATTCAAATAACAAAAGTGCTCCGAGTTTTGTTATCCCAATTTTTTTTCAAATATTTCCATAAAATTATTTTAATTCAAGAACCTGGATCAACCATTGATTCAGATTTATAAACATACTTGTGCAGTAAAATGTGCCATTAAACATCCATACATCAACACAAAGTAAATTGGTAGAACCACAGTAAATTGACCTCAATTTAAGATAAAACTTTCAGACATTGAGAACATTAGAAACCATCTGGCTTATAAATTGGCTTTACTCTCATGCAAAATTACTTGTAAAAGACTTTTTAAATCTGCATTAACAAATAATAGACCTTATGCATTCAGTTACAATAATTTAGAAGGGTTTGCTGATGCCTATTTCAGCGATACAAACATCCTAGCCCTCGTTCTCTCTGCCTGTCAAACGCATAAGGTACATGCTTACTGCTTTTTACAAAGTACCACTAAAGCAATATAACAAAGCCACTCTAGATATAGTTTCCCTCAGTAATATTAGCAACATAGTACCAACCGTTTACTAATATAAAAAAAGTAGAATGTAAGGTTTTTTTCACTTGATATAATTTGTGTTTTGTTTTCTGCAAATAAATTTATAGTTTTAAATACACACACGACTGTGATGCTAATTTATCGTAAAGTTGCGGTGTTTTATTATCAGGCGCCACTTTTTGTTGTCGACGGAAACCTTTTGGTTGACGGTGGTTCATCGTTCACTTCCTTTTATGAGGTTTTAACCCTTTACAGTTATACAGGGTGAGTAAAAAACGAAACCCAAATGTCGGGACCACTGTTGGTTAGTACAAGAATCATTCAAGTCACTTATGTCCTTTTCAAGTTGCGGAATTTTAAACACAAGCACCGTTTGAAAAATCTGTCCACGGATCACAAAAAGGTAAGTGCTTTTTTCAGCAAAACGAAAACAAATCACATAGGGATGTGTGTGAATTGTTTTCGTTTTGCTGATAGAACGCACCCCATTTGTGTGATCCGTGGACAGAACTTTAAAACGGTGGTTGTGTTTAAAATTCCGTAACTTGAAAAGTACATAAGTGATTTTAATGATTCTTGTACTAACTGATAGCTTATGAATTGGGCTTTTATATCTAAAATTTTGAAAGTGCTTTATGCAGAACTTCACTAAAACAATAGTCCCGACATTTGGGTTTCGTTTGTTTTTACTCACCCTGTACATGTATAATACTAACTGCAAAGCACTCGATTGTCGCACGCAAATATTAATTGGCGCCCTCTTTGTGCAACTTTTTACCGGCAAAGCCCGCAGTTGCAGCCGGAAGTTTCGAAAATCAAAATTTTCGGTTAAACGCAGTTTCGAGTAATCGATACTAAATTATTAGAAATTGTACAGCCTTATATCTTACACAGTTACATTATCTAATGTCCATATCATTTGTAAAAATTCTTTTTAAAAAATCTACACATATCAATATCACTAATAATCTACTTTCCCTAAAATTAATCTGCATAAACTTTATCCTACAAAGATGCACACTTTAATTTCAGGATTGCAACCTATTAGTGCATTCAGTAGAACCGCAAACACAAAAAATATGACCACTATAGAACATAGTCCAACACAGCTTCACATACTTAAAATATTCATACTACAAATATGCATGCATTATTTCTTGCTACACAGCTACAGTTTTTTTTTTCAAACAAGATATCAAGCAACAGTTATCACCAAACAATATAAAACAGCTCAAGATTGCTCCATTACTGCCTTATTCAGTGATTTATATCACCCCGACGCAAAATTCCATCTTATAATAGTTTATGCGGTACCTGCTGCTGCACTAGAAAGCAGGATGTCGTTGGTTCGAGTCCCACCCGAGTGATTTTTTCCAACTTTCACTCGGGAGGTAACACACTGAGTATTCAGTGTTCAAACGTCGGTGAAGGGCAAAACCTAATTTGATTTATATCACCCCGACGCAAAAAATCCATCTTATAATCATTTATAGCATGTCAATTAATTATGGTGTATGTGGGGAAAGCTGATTGGATGTTTATGGTCAGATGTTCCTGATAGAAACTTCATCGTCTTAAAAAGAAACGTGTATATATGGCACCCCTATTGTTAATGTGGTCAGTTGCTGCTCTAAAATTGTTTGTAAAACAGACGTGGATTTCTAATGAACTGGAAATGATTGGAATCAATTAAAGTTTCATCGTGACGTCATCATGTGTAGGCATTGAAATCATTGAATATGAGGTCCCTTGAACAAGCTCCATATTTTGTCAATGCCTCTAAACGGATATGACCTTTGAATTACGATATCTCAGATGTTGGAACTAGATATCAAACTAAAAATGTTGGTGAAATGTAGAAATCACTGTTTTTCTCCTTTTAAGAGTTATTCCTTTATTTAATATGAAATAAAGAATTGAACTGACCAAAAAAAAAAAGAAATTCGTTGCATTTCTGTTAACTTTTTTTGTAGAAAGAACTATTCCAACATCACCAATTACATGTATTACATTTCTCTTGACCGCTAACACAACTTCTCATGACCGCATACTTTAGTTTCTTTAAAAGGCACAAATCATTCTTTCAAATTATCTACATGGACTGATTGTATCAACATGGTACCAATTGATTCATTTTCAACACAAGCGCATACATTTCTTCTTAAGAACTGTACCAATTATTTAAATACACAAAGCTGTATAATCTTATGCAAAACCAGCATAGTATATGTCCGTTCATTTCATCCAACACAGATATATTAATTGTACCAACATAGTGACAATAACACAAGTGCATATTCTTTTCTCAACAAACAACAAATTATTTCATGACGTACAGCATCAAACATTAATTTTACCAATACCAACGTAGTACTCAGTAGCCTTAACTCCCATCTCCGGGAGGGGAATTGATATTTACATTTTTTCTTTCTCACTTTATACGTACCCAATACTTACTATGTTTTGTCAAAATGCTATCATATATATTCAGTATCCGCATTTTGTGAAATGAATATTACCACAACTTTTTGTCATTTGTATATACCCTCAATTAAAAACCTTGTCACTTCCCGTTTAAAATATGTCTTGTCAAAAATCGATCACCAATAACAGCTTTACTGCCCCCATGGAACTTGTCAATGGATACAAATCAAATTTCTTCATTTTTAACACCCTCATTTTCCTGTTTTTCAAAATGTTTGATTTTCATCGAACAGCTTTTCAGATTATAGTAATTTTTCCTCCACGATTTCCATACTATACCACCCTTATTGGTTCCTTGCCCAAATCGTCCATTCAAATTAGATTGATAACATCTGTTATACCACCATGCTCCTGTGCGAATTGTAGCGCAGAATCTCTTTCCACTTGAATTATTGTCCTTGTCTTTTGTTGAAAACAGCTTTTCATTGTGATTTGTAAGTGAGTCTCCTGCAGTGCTGTTGGTATTGTATAAATTGATTTCGAGCGAGTACTTGTCTCCATGAATCTGAAAGTCGTCATATTCAGCCCAGGCCGTGTTATTCTCCCAGTCCTCTAAGTCAATTCGTAGTTTCCACTTACCTTCAGTCTCAGTCAGGCTGCGTAGGTTGTCATTCCCAAGCCAGTACTCACCAGACAAGCTGCCAAAGCCAACCTGGTAGTCAGCCCAGTTGCGGTAGAAGTCAACGCTGCCATCTTGACGCCTCTGAATGACGATCCATCCTCCACCATCAGGCTCCATGTCACAGTAGACCTGCAGCCCATCATTGAATCCAGCTGGGAAAATCGTGTAGATACCACTCACATTATGACCAGCTTGAAGCACCTCATCACAACCTCTGAACTGAGGCACCGAGAAGAGAGATGTGTCTACATCGTCATCAAAGTACACACTGCCGTAGTGTGTAATGAAATCAGCAGGATTGTGCATCCTTGTCAGATTGTTCATTTGACAAAGTTGATCTGTTTGATGATAATTCACAGATCGACAGTTGTTATCAGCATGACAGTAGCTAACACAGCGGACAGCAGACTTGACATGTTCCTCTCTAAATGTAGAAGTCTGAAGTGCACGATTGTCTGCTGCAATAAATGTTTGTTTCACGTTACCACAGCGATCTCGTTGGAAAGCATCCACATAAACGAGGAAAGTGAAGATCACCACGATCATTTGAATCTTGTTGCTAGGGCCGTTTAGACACGAACGACATGGCTTTTCCATATCGAGATGATTTCGATCAGATTAGAAAATTTGAACCATTTGGCTTTCTGACACTTAAACACGACTTAATACATCTCGGGGTAGACAAACATGCTCAGTATTGTTGTTTGTCAATTTCTGAGACAAAAAGGTTTTGTCGATATCAGTGTAAGATGTCAAATGGTAGAGTGTGGTAAAATTGCTCAATATTGAAGTGACAAGCAGAGGCAGCAGTATCGCCGATGGACGTGGGAAGGAGTGATTGGTTGTTTCTGGTCACATGTTCAAGGCTCTTTATTACATCAAACATGGTAACACGACCCAGTGAAAGGCAGGTTTCCTACCCGACTTATTCAATAAATATTGTCTGCCAATTGCTCTACTTAATTGCCTGTCCTTGCAAAAGTGGTGCACTTGACTGGAACTAATTGGATATTAATAGCATTGAATGCGTCACGTACCTATTCCTTGCCATGTTATTATCAGTTTGAAGACATAATATGAAATAATAGGCAAATGAGACAGTAGTCACGCAGTTTCCAGTGTAATTTGTTAAATTGGGACAATGAGGTATATTAAATGTAATTCTTTATGATATTTATCGTTAATAATATCCAAGGATATTCCCCAATTAAACCAACATGCATTGTTCCATCATCATAAATTATTACATGTACATCCAAAATGTTAGAAAATACTTTTTCAAAAACAATACCACAAATACATCCAAAACAACTGTATGGACTTATTGTACCATCATTAATGACAATAGCGATACGCTTCATTTGCACCATTATACCATTTTTTTTTTACTCAACACAGCTACATACAATATATTTACAAAGACAATACCTTTGTGCAACAAAGTCCTACACACTGATTGTACCAACAAAGTACAAATTAATTTAGCCAGTATAGCTGCACACACTAGTTTTACCAACCGTTCATCCATCTGTCTGAATTTTGTGTGTTTTGTCATCATTTTTTAAATGCTATCCTACTGTGTTTGTAGATATACATTAAATGACTTTAAAAAAAACGTCAAACACATTTTTAGAATACTCTGTCGTAATGAAACGTGCAACACTGCATTTCATTTTCATCTGATAGTCGCCATTCTTTATTTTAAAAACCCAACAATATGTTTCTACAGTGTTGCATTATCTATCAGTATCCCTGTCCCTCCTCTTAAAGAAATGTTGGTGGAAATTTAATGATTAAACAAATTCAGATCCTTTATTTTGAGCACAAAATCAATTTTCCTGTTTTTCAAATTATCAGATTGTCATAAAACAACCTTTGAGATTTTAGTGATGTTCCCCCTAAGTTTTTATTATTTTGAGTATGTCATCAAAATGTCATTTCTTGTACTTTTTTTCTCAATTCCAACAGGGGTGCATACATTTAAAAAAAATACTGTATCAATAATTTAATTTAGTACAGCTGGGTACTCAAATTTTACCAACAAAGAATGTGTACCGGTTATTTCATCCAACATAGCTGTACCTACATTATGGGCGTTTTCAAACCCCGTTCTCGTGTTGAATGGACACAAGCGCGAACTACAGCATACGGACACTAATTGTGCCAACATATTATCAATTATTTCACCACCACAGCAATGTACTGTGGCGGGGATTTCCCCGGGCCAAACCTAAGTTCGTTGGGACCAAGTCTGACACCTATTAGAGTGTAGCTGATCTTCCCGAACGCAAGCTTTCCCAAGAGGAGAGACCACTCAGAGCGACCTCAAGGCCTAGGGAGCAGTTCCGTTTTGGAGGAAATATACCGCCGATTATGATGATTGTGATTTCCCACTGTTAATTGCACAATAAACCAACAACAAATACATGTGGACAACAGGAATGTCGGCACCACAAATATGATCGTAATTTATTATACAATAATCAAGAAATATGCAGTAGTGATTGAGTCTTAATGAGGTTGTTAATTATCAGGGTCACTTAATTACACTTGGGAGTTAACTGACAGCTCAACTAAGCAGTAACGCGCACAGCTTGAACAATGCGCCCAATGTAAACAATGCACTGCTAAGTCAACAATGTACACTATAGAAACAATGCACGGCTAAGTCAACAATGTACACTAATGTAAACAATGCACGGCTAAGTCAACAACGTACACTCAGTAAACAATGTACAGTAAGTCAACAATGTACACCTGTGTAAACAACAGTGCACACTAAGTCAACTCCTGCAGTGCTGTGGGTATTGTATGAGTTGACTTGGAGTGTGTAGTTGTCTCCATGAATCTTAAAGTCGTCATATTCAGCCCAGGCCGTGTTATTCTCCCAGTCCTCTAAGTCAATTCGTAGTTGCCACTTACCTTCAGTCTCAGTCAGGCTGCGTAGGTTGTCATTCCCAAGCCAGAACTCACCTGACAAGCTGTCAAAGCCAACCTGGTAGTCAGCCCAGTTGCGCGTACGATAGAAGTCAACGCTGCCATCTTGATGACGCCTCTGAATGACGATCCATCCCCCTCCATCAGTCTCCATGTCACAGTAGACATATCGTGGAAATATCGTGTAGATACCACTCACATTATGACCAGCTTGAAGGACCTCATCACAACCTCTGAACTGAGGCACAGAGAAGAGAGATGTGTCTACATCATCATCAAAGTACACACTGCCGTAGTGTGTAAAGAAATCAGCAGGATTTTGCATCCTTGGCAAATTGTTCATTTGACAAAGTTGTTCTGTTTTATAATAATTCACAGATCGGCAGTTGTTATCAGCATGACAGTAGCTAACACAGCGGACAGCAGACTTGACCTGTTCCTCTCTAAATGTAGAAGTCTGAAGTGCACGATTGTCTGCAGCAATGAAAAAACTCAGACGCAAGTCTGAGTTAATCATCTTGGTGATAGAGAGGTGGAAATTTTGTCTCTTTTCCATATTGGCACTTCTATATTTTATCATATAGGTTTTGCTCAATTTAAGGAAATGCTGTGCTGTATGCTGCATCCAGTGTCAAGTTTACAAACTGCTGAGAGATTTGTTAGAATGTAAGTAGAATCGTATCGTATGCAGCATCAACCACCAAGAACATGTAAACTTGTACCAGTGTTGGAGTCATATGTCCCAAAACCCGAGAACCGATGCTTAGCAAAATATAAATAATATCACTGTCACAAGTTCTTGACATGTAGGCCTACGCGGAGAAAGCTGATTGGCCGCTTCAAGTCACATGTGTAAGCCTTAAATTGATTCCCTCATCTCCAAACGTAAGGTATGGCCTCAGAATTATTATTGCGTTCTAGTATTCCAATTATTGCCTGCTCTCTAGAAATGGTTACAAAATACAATTCAATAAACCCCTGAGACGTAAATTGCATTCTGCACAATACCGTGCAGTTCACCTAATGGTAATTGACAGGAGTTGATTCACATGTCGTCGCCAAGGCGTCCTTTGTTACCAGCGGCAGTTTCCCTCCCCTTGCTCTATTATGATGGATGCTGCTGATCAACCACATATGAGATATTTAAATTTGAGATATCTCAGGCTTGAAGTTTCATGCAATGTTTAAGTCTTTTTCTTTAATTCCAGTTATCATTACACAGAGATCTAAAATTAAAGCTATAGTCCATCATTTGCAGCCATCCGAAAAGTAACTGGCGTAATTATTGTTGAAAAATAATCTTGGTTGAAAGATAGTAAGCGGAACTAAACTCCCTGTGAAATTATTCTTTCTGGGAAGCTGTCATTTTGAAGTAATCAACGAAAGAAGGCCTTTCCAACGGTGCGTCCGTAGGAAAATTAAAATTAGTTGTTCGTTTTGTTATTCAGCGAAGCGCGCGCAAGCATTGGCACGATGCACAGGCGCGCGCGGTTGCTATAATTCTTCGGATCAGTGCGCGACGTCGCGTATAGCTGCAATTCAAAACAATTCAAAACATGATTCAGTAACTTTTGATTTGAAATTGAGATCTAAGAATGCTGTTTTTCTCAGAATATACAGCTGAAGCTTAGCTGAAACTTCATCAGGTTAGTTGTTCAGTATCCTTCATAAGATTTTGAACACTTTTGTTGCTTCAAACGAACAAAATGCACAAATTACGGACTATATCTTCAAGGGGTGATTAAAATAAGACACCATTTTCAATTATCATGCTATTTCATGGTTCTGATGGTTAAACTGTGAATCAAACCAGGTAGATCGTGCGTCAGTGTTTTTGCTGCTCATTATTTTCTCAATACTTTCGCTTTTGTGTGTCAGGTGGTAGAGACACCACAAAGCCGTTATAATAGCAATGAGGCTGTAATATTCGCTCGTACCCCCCCCCCCCCCCCCCCGCCCTGCAAACAGGACGCTGGGATATTCTGATGAATTCACGCTCTGATTGGTTGGATTTTGCATCAGGCCATTAGAACATTATTATTTTGCAGCAGCTCGAGATCAGCGCATTCTGGTCTCTTACTTGACAGGAACAGACCAGCATGCGGGAACATCAGACGTGCAATTAATGCAGCAAATTAGACAGGAACCTCACTAACAATCAAACAATGTTAGTAGAGATGCCAAATTAAAAAAAAGCACGATGACGCCATCATAAGGGCCCCTTGCGGCACGTCAAAGTAAGTTGAACTTTTTAAAATTTATATACCAGTTGTCAATTTCGTTTTTACTGAATTGCTCCTAGATAGTCTTTTCTACAAACGCAAATGACTTTGCGAAGTTTCATGATGTCATCATGACGTCATCAAATCGGAAGTTATTATAGGGAGAATTAGAAAATGATAAATTTTCTGTGTGTTTTTTTTTTTTCAAATCAAATTCATCATTTGATTAATTTGTATCCAGTGAAAATATTCGTGGCATCATAATGGCACGAATATTTTTTTGTCAGCTGTTGCTGTGACGTCATCGAACTGGAAGTAAGGTGCTATCAATTAATCCATACATTCGTATCATTTATATATTTTCAAAATATTTTTCACTCTAATAATAATAATAAACAAAGAACATTTGTAAAGTGCCGGTATCCGCCTAAAAGGCGCTCATGGCGCTTGAGGAGAAAGTCAAGTTAGGATTGTGTGTTGTGAGAGTAAGCTTGTTTGTACAGGTGAGATTTTATGTTTGTCTTAAATGTTGTGATGGATGGAGATGATTTGATAGCCAGAGGGAGTTGGCTCCACACTCGGGCTGACGCTGCAGTAAAGGATCTGTCACCCAAGAGTGGAGGTCCTGGGCTCATGAAGCATCATGAGCTCACTGGGGCGGAGTCCGGTGCGTGCTGTTGAGTACGGCTGGATGAGCTCGATGAGATACTTCGGGGCATTGTTGTGGAGAATTTCGTAAACGAATAGGCCAAGTTTGTATTTGATTCTGTGTGATATTGAAAGTCAGTGGAGATCTGCTAATACAAGAGTGATCTGAGAATGTTTACTAGTGATAGAGATAAGTCTGGCACGGATGTCTTGTAGTCGCTGCAGTCGTTTAGTTGATTTAAGTTAATGCCATACTATAGTGAACTGCCCAAGTCATTTTTGAATGTGATGAGTCCTGTCTAAACTAACTGAATTTTCATTTTGCGAATTTTCAACTGATGACGTCTCAAACCGGAAGTCACGTTTAAGTAACATGAAATCTATAAAACCCAAAACGATTAATACTTTGAATTATTTTTGAAGGTACCAGTCCTGAAGACAAGAGGAACGATTGTAATTGGTCAGAGATGTGTGTTGGGAGCACGAGCTTGTAAACTTGAGTCTGATTGGCCAATATTGGCAGGGTCATGATATTCATATTCATGAGTATTGAAATGGTATCTCAAAAGGGATTCCAAAAAAACTTTGTTCAGTCTGATAAGCTTAGACAATGATTTTGAAAATAATTATATTTCAATTTACCAATGCCACAATGTGAATGTGAAAAGATGATCACTAAATTCTTGATATAAAATGACAGAAGTCATGTGTTCTACAACCCATTGTCTATTGTATGACTATTGTATATTATTGATAGCTTTTCAAGAAAGATCCCATGGATGTTTGGTACCTTTAATGTGCCAAAGTCATGTTTACTCTGCTCCGCTGTCTTTATTTTATATTTTATTTACAAAACAATTCCTAAGCTAAGAAACACTAGCTCACCTATTTCCCAATGAATTTCGAAGAGGTAGGGATAAAATAATTTGAATATAACCCTATAAATCATGTCTGGCTATTGCGCGTATATACGGTACCCACTCTATATGTACAGTGTGTTGTGTGTGCACGCACAGTCGCGAATTTCTATACTCTCGAGGACAATGCTTTGTGTTTCCCTTTGTCCCTATTATTAAACACTCTCCCATAGTCTAAGCACACAGCCTCACGATCGAGGACCGTTTTCAACAAAACCCAACTCTCGAGGACTGAAAGGATCTTTTGTTCTCCCTTTGTGTGTCTGTCCTCGATCGCAAAGCCATGCAAGAGCACACGTATGTCATGAATAATTCAGTATGTGCTAGGCAAGTCCCAACCAATAAGGAGTGGAAATGTTAATGATATTCTTTACCACCCTCGGAAAAACGTTTGCAAACGGGTTACACCAAGGATTATCAATCAAAGTTTGTTTGAAGCCTTGGTTACTTTGATTTGTACATTTTCATCAATCTTATTTTTCCCATTGAATGGAGCTAAGATTCTTGAAACTAGTCTTGGCGTGTTGTTTTTCTAATATTACCTCTATATCAGTAATTCCATCTTATGAATGTTTTCCTCAAGGGTTACGTGGCATCTCCAAGATACCCATCCTAAATAAGCCATAAGAATTTAATATATGCTTTGAAGAATCCGTTCGGGAGCATGCAGAGACTAATGGCTATTGGAAGTCATTCCAATCCATTTATTCTGCTTATTCTGCTTATACAAGGTTATTATGCTCATTTGCTTTGAGACGCAAATTCACCAGTTGAATATTTATGAAATTTCAGTAAAATCTGGGCATGAATTTATGTATGGCTGAGCATAAACGACACAAGGTCCAGCCCAAGACCTTGACACAGTGTATCCTCCCAAATCAGCTACACACTTTTGCCATATAGCCTCATTCCTACAAAATCCTCCATTTGCAAAGACGATTTTGGAGGATTTGGGAAGGTTAGGGTTAAGTGGAGTGCTTGTATACTTTATGCATACATGAGGCAGTCATAAATAAAAGAGCAAATAAAATACCTTCTCCAGAATCTGGAACAAAAGCTCCAAGATGCATGGCTTCTGTGCACAAGATGCGTCCCCTCCTCTCTTAGAACTGTCACCCAATTTCCCCTCACAAATCGAAATATCAAAAAGAATTTTTCTAAAAGGAGAAAAAAACTTATATCCTTTATCGTGTAAAGTGAAACTTCTGGCCACTTAGCGCTACACCAATTGATATGGTCTTCACCACACATTGCCAATGGTATAGGACGGAGAAGTAACATTTTCAGAAACGTCGCGGAAGTCAGTCAGTGGTCAGTATTGTGGTGTCTATGCTAGGCGATTCTGGAAAAAAGGAGATATACAGACACTACATCTACCTAACTTGTGGGTTTTTCGCATTGTTCAGATCCCAAGGTTTGGTCTACCATAAAGAGCAGTGAAGAAAACTCTCCCATTGTTCATCATCTTGACACCAAGTTGGTTGAGAGAGTTGCTCTGAGGCAGTCGGTGGAACAGTATGGGTCAGATCTGAGTGCTGTTTCCTTTTAGAATCGTCAAAAGACCCAGATACCAGATGCAGCAAAGGAACAAAGATGTCTGACCTCATTTGAGTTCATGTAGACATTGGGAGCGAGCCAATTCAAATTTAAACATTTGAGTGAAAGTTCAGGGATAACTAAATGCATGAAATTTTCTGTAGGTATTCAAGTAGGATCTGGGTACCTTTGCTGGCAAAATATTGAAACATTTTGATGTAGAAAGGTTAGATTGCAACCCTGACTGCAGCATTAATGGGCAATATTGGAAAACATTAACTAACAATCCAGGAAATCGCTTCCATTTTCGAATGTTTTGTTTCACACATTTGGTCCCAGTTGGGAAAATGTTGTCAGCAGCAGCAAACAAGAGTAGCCCTGATAGACATTATGGTCCATGGCCTATAAAGGCCAAAAGTAAACAACTGAAAAATAGACAAATTGTTGAAACAAATATGCCAGACCAGTATCAACTGAGCATTTATTGATTCCTCATCTTGCCTGGTATAAGCATAATTCCATACAAACAAACGCCTGGAGGTGGCTAAGGACTTGAACATGACATTTTATTTTCTGGTTTTTACTGAAATCACAAGTTATCATTTACCCGTGCTCTGATGGATATGTTACCGTTCTAATGATTATAAATATTTTCTTCCACCTTTCCAAAGATGGAAAAAATGTTATTGAATTGAAATCGGTGTTGATTAATATCAAGAATTGCATGAGTCAGTGACAACCTGTCTAATGAAATATTTGGTGCTGTGCAAGTTTTCGACAAATTTGTTATACTTATCACATGTAATCAGTGCAATAATTAAAGTCTTAACTATTGAAAATATTGTTAAATATACCCTCATCATTGGTGGATCCAGACACTTAATCTTTACTTAAAGAAATAAATGGATTATTTCCTTCTAAAATGAAGGTTATTTTAATTTGATTCAAATAACAAAAGGGCTCCGAGATTATCCCAATTTTTATCAAATATTTCCATATTATTTCAATTCAAAATCCTGGATCAACCATTGATTTAGATTTGTAAACATACTTGTGCAGTAAAATGTGCCATTAAACATCATACATCCACACAAAGTAAATGTGTAGAACCACAGTAAATTGACCTCAATTTAAGATAATACTTTCAGACATTGAGAACATTAGAAACCATCTGGCTTATAAATTGGCTTTCCTCTCATGCAAAATTACTTGTAAAAGATTTTTTTAATCTGCATTAACAATAATAGACCTTATGCATTGCAGGCATCTAAGACAGTCTTCTTTGTTTTTTGTTTTTTTTATTCAGTTACAATAATTTAGAAGGGTTTGCAAATGCCTATTTCAGCGACACAAACATCCTAGCCCTCGTTCTCTCTGCCTGTCAAACGCATAAGGTCCATGCTTACTGCTTTTACAAAGTACCACTTAAGCAATGTAACAAAGCCACTCTAGATATAGTTTCTCTCAGTAATATTAGCAACATAGTACCAACCGTTTACTAATATAATAAAAGTAGAACTTAATTTTTTTTCACTTGATATAATGTGTGTTTTGTTTTCTGCAAATAAATTAATAGTTTTAAATACACACACGACTGTGATGCTATTTTATCGTAAAGTTGCGGTGTTTTATTGTCAGGCGCCACTTTTTGTTGTCGACGGGAACCTTTTGGTTGACGGTGGTTCATTGTTCACTTCCTTTTATGAGGTTTTAACCCTTTACAGTTATACAGGGTGAGTAAAAAACGAAACCCAAATGTCGGGACCACTGTAAGTAAGTACAAGAATCATTCAAATCACATATGTCCTTTTCAAGTTGCGGAATTTTAAATACAAGCATCGTTTGAAAAATCTGTCCACGGATCACAAAAAGGTAAGTGCTTTTTTCAGCAAAACGAAAACAGATCACATAGGGATGTGTGTGAATTGTTTTCATTTTGCTGATAGAACGCACCCCTTTTGTGTGATCCGTTGACAGGACTTTCAAACAGTGGTTGTATTTAAAATTCCGTAACTTGAAAAGTACATAAGTGATTTGAATGATTCTTGTACTAACTGAGACCTTATGAATTGGGCATTTATATCCTACATTTTGAAAGTGCTTCATGCAGAACTTCACTAAAACAATAGTCCGGACATTTGGGTTTCGTTTGTTTTTACTCACCCTGTACATGTATAAGACTAACTGCAAGCACTCGATTGCCGCACGCAAATATTAATTGGCGCGCTCTTTGTGCAACTTTTCACCGGCGCAGCCCGCAGTTGCAGCCGGAAGTTTCGAACATCCAAATTTTCGGTTAAACGCAGTTTCAAGCAATCGATACTAAATTATTCGAAATTGTACAGCCTTATATCTTACACAGTTACATTATCTAATGTCCATATCATTTGTAAAAATTCTTTAAAAAAATCTACACATATCAATATCACTAATAATTTACTTTCCCTAAAAGTAATCTGCATAAACTTTATCCTGCAAAGGTGCATACTTAAATTTAAAGATTGCAACATATTAGTGCATTCAGTAGAACCGCAAACACAAAAAATGACCAATATAGAACATAGTCCAACACAGCTTTACATACTTAAAATATTCATACTACAAATATGCATGCATTATTTCTTGCTACACAGCTACAGTTTTTTTTCAAACAAGATATCAAGCAACAGTTTTCATCAAACAATATAAAACAGCTCAAGATTGATCCATTTACTGCCTTTTTTAATCATTTATAGCATGTCAACTAATTATGGTGGATGTGGGGAAAACTGATTGGATGTTCATGGTCATATGTTCCTAATAGGAACTTAATCATCTTAAAATGAAAACTATTTATATGACACCCCTATTGTTAATGTGGTCGGTTGCTGCTCTAAAATTGTTTGTACCAAACAGACGTGGATTTCTAATGAACTGGAAATGATTGGAATCAATTAAAGTTTCATGGTGACGTCATCATGTGTAGGCATTGAAATCATTGAATATGAGGTCCCTTGAACAAGCTCCATATTTTGTCAATGCCTCTAAACGAACATGACCTTTGAATTACGATATCTCATATGTTGGAACTAGAAATCAAACTAAAAATGTTGGTGAAATGTAGAAATCACTGTTTTTCTCCTTTTAAGAGTTATTCCTTTATTTAATATGAGATAAAAAATTGATTTGACCCAAAAAAAAGGAAATTCGTTGCATTTCTGTTAACGTTTTTTTTTTTAGAAAGAATTATTCAAACATCACCAATTGCATGTATTACATTTCTCATGACCGCTAACACAACTTCTCATGACCGCATACTCTAGTTTCTTTAAAAGGCACCAATAATTCTTTCAAATTATCTACATGGACTGATTGTATCAACATGGTACCAATTGAGTCATTTTTAACACAAGCGCATACATTTCTTCTTAAGAATTGTACCATTTAGTGAAATACACAAAGCTGTATAATCTTATGCAAAACCAGCATAGTATATGTCAGTTTATTTTATCCAACACAGATATATTAATTGTACCAACATAGTGACAATAACACAAGTGCATATTCTTTTCTCAACAAATAACAAATTATTTCATGAGGTACAGCATCAAACATTAATTTTACCAATACCAACGTAGTACTAAGTAGCCTAAACTCCCATCTCCGGGAGGGGAATTGATATTTACATTTTTTCTTTCTCACTTTATACGTACCCAATACTTACTATATTTTGTCAAAATGCTATCATATATATTCAGTATCCGCATTTTGTGAAAAGAAAATTACCACAACTTCTTGTCATTTGTATATACCCTCAATTAAAGACCTTGTCACTTCCCGTTTAAAATATGTCTTGTCAAATATCGATCACCAATAACAGCTTTACTGCCCCCAATGGAACTTTTCAATGGATACAAATCAAATTTCTTCATTTTTAACACCCTAATTTTCCTGTTTTTCAAAATGTTTGATTTTCATCGAACAGCTTTTCAGATTATAGTAATTTTTCCTCCACGATTTCCATACTATACCACCCTTATTGGTTCCTTGCCCAAATCGTCCATTCAAATTAGATTGATAACATCTCTTATACCACCATGCTCCTGTGCGAATTGTAGCACAGGATCTCTTTCCATTTGAATCATTGTCCTTGTCTTTTGTTGAAAACAACATTCCATTGTGGTATGTGAGTGAGTCTCCTGCAGTGCTGTTGGTATTGTATGAGTTGACCAGGAGTGTGTACCTGTCGCCATGAATCTGAAAGCTCTCATATTCAGCCCAAGCCGTGTTATTCTCCCAGTCCTCTAAGCCAATTCGTAGTTGCCACTTACCTTCAGTCTCAGTCAGGCCGCGTAAGTTGTCATTCCCAAGCCAGAACTCACCAGACAAGCCGCCAAAGCCAACCTGGTAGTCAGCCCAGTTGCGGTAGAAATTAACGCTGCCATCTTGACGCCTCTGAATGACGATCCATCCCCCTCCATCAGTCTCCATGTCAGAGTAGACCTGTAGCCCATCATTGAATCCAGCTGGGAATATCGTGTAGATACCACTCACATTATGATCAGCTTGAAGGACCTCATCACAACCTCTGAACTGAGGCACAGAAAAGAGAGAGGTGTCTACATCATCATCAAAGTACACACTGCCGTAGTGTGTAATGAAATCAGCAGGATTTTGCATCCTTGTCAAATTGTTCATTTGACAAAGTTGATCTGTTTGATGATAATTCACAGATCGGCAGTTGTTATCAGCATGACAGTAGCTAACACAGCGGACAACAGACTTGACCTTTTCCTGTCTAAATGTAGAAGTCTGAAGTGCACGATTGTCTGCAGCAATGAATGTTTGTTGGTCATAGTGACGTTTCTGTTCACAGCTTTCAATCAAAAACAATGCCAAAATAAGTAGAAAACCAACTTGAAGAATCTTTGATTTAGAGCCCAACAGCCCTCTTTCGGTTTCCATTCTGTTTCTCTGGTCGACTCCGATCAAATCCTTCACTTGCATAAATCTATGTTCCAAGGAAATGCTGTATTAGTTGAATGTCACAATAAATATAAGGTTACGAGCATTCACCAAAATGAGAACTCTTTACCGTCTGGTCTTTCAAGATAGAAATTTGTAACTTTTACCAGATTTTCAGTCAATCTTCAAACAGCTAACGACGGTAGATCTTCAAATGTCCCGATACAAATGAGGCATCACACAATCTACCACGCTATTAATTGCTTCACTAGTGATATTAAACTTCAGCTTCTACTTGCTCTTAATTGACAAGATTGTCACATCACAATGGGATCAATATAGATTGCAATGGCTGTGCTATGATGTTGTCTTGGTTACTGTTTTTGCTGCCTTTGGTAAATAAGGTGTCAGGCAGTGTGTAGAGGGTTGTAATAAACTGTATCGTGTTTGGTTAAGGGATGTTGGCATGGAATATCACTGTAGACTTAAATTGTGTACGGGAATACATGGGCAATGAGATTGAAAGTGTAATAAGATATATTCGGTATGATATCTACAAGTACATGTGTATTTTCATGAATCAAAGTTTGTTTTGAAGTTATGCCTCAATCAATATGATTTCCCTGTGTTGATCAGGCTTTTATTTGTTCTAAAGTGAGCTACAATTCCTGAAATTAGTCTTGGCATTTTGTACATATTAATAGTACCTCTAGGGCATACATATTTATATCAGCCCTTTGAAGAGTAAGCAGACACAAATGGCTATTGGAAGTCATTCCAATCCATTTATTCTGCTTATTTGGCTGACATACATGCTAGAGAAGGCCAGTGCTCATTTGCTTTGAGACGCAAATTAATCAGATGTATGTTTATCAACCAGAGGGGCGGAACTAGGCTGATGATGTGGGCGGGACATACTAGGACATCCTGGAAAAAAACACCAATCATTGATGGATCCAGACGTTAAGTGTACTTCAAGAAAATTGAAAGTATTTTTCATCTTATTCCAATGAACAAAAAAATCGAGTTAAACTTTTCCAAAAATACAAATATGCCTTCATTTATTTCATTTGAAGTCAAGAACCTGGATTAGTCATTGATTTTTTCTTCAAACAAATTTGTGTGGAAAAAGGTGTCATTACACATCTATGTACCAACACATAGCAAATGCGTAAAACCATAGTGAGCTTACCCCAAACTTACCCCAAACTAGTAAACTAATTGCAGACATTGAGAGCATTAAAAATATGTTCGCTTGATCACTGGAAATATACTCTAATGCAAAATTACATATAAACGAGTTAATTTTTTTATCTGCCTTGCAGCTGCGTAGCTACGGGGGTGCGTGAGGGCCCGGGGTGGGTGTGGCACACGCGCCTCATTAAAACATCGTCGCCCCAGTCCCCCCCCCCCCCGATAATTTGGCAATCGGAAAAAAATCACGAAACCAGTCCCTTTTTCACATTTTAAATATAATTTTGGCAAAAGCCCTGATTCTCGCGATTGGCGGTCCCGTGGAAAGCGTATAGCGATACCTATTGTCTGACAATGGACCTTAGGCCAAAAAAATAAGTCTCCGGTTTCTGGTATGGAGCTTGCCCAAAAAGTGGTGCGGCGACACGGCTTATTTTTCTTTGGCCTGTTTGTTTTGCTGCAAATGTCGGCTGATGACTGCAAATGGTGCCCGACTAAACTTCGTGCAAATATATGGGAGTCCAGAGAGGCCACATAAAGCTTATTCGCGATCATAACCCCATCTAAAAACACGTTACAAATTGTGCAGCAGCAGGATTCCAGTCAAAGCAGTGAGTTTGGCAGTTTGAGACATCATCTTTCATTGAAAAATTTTTTTTTTTATTTTGCCGACGAGCATGGCTACGGCGACGTGCGCGCATACCAGAAACCGGAGACTTGTTTGGGGGGGGGGGGCTAAAGACCTGAGATTCAAAAGAATTTTACTAAAAAAATGCCTAATATGGATTTTTTAAGTACATTTTTTTTGAATCTCAGGTCTTTAGCTATTATGAACGAGGACGTTCATGCTAAGAAGGATGCTTTGTGACGCAAATTACTATAGCGGCAGAGTCCAAAGAGGGCGCGCTAGCGGCTGCGGGCCCAGTGCCTATAAGAGGCCGTTGGGCAGCAAGCAACTATTGTATGAGTTAGTCACACCATGTCTGATAAAATATTTGTGCTGTGCAAATTATCAACAGTTTTGCAATGTAGTCACTGCAATAATATAAAGTCTTAAATATTAAAATTATTCTTAAATATACACCAATCATTGAGGGATCCAGACATAGTTTTTTGTTCAATGAATATAGATTGGGTGTTTTCCACCCCAATTAAAATGTATTGCGTTTTAGTTTAATAACAAATAAAAATCCCAATATATATTGGATGTTTTTTAGTCAAGAACCTGGATCAATCTTGAGTTTTTTAACCAAAGTTTGTGCAGTCTAAGGTGCAATACAACATATGTCCTCACTTTTGGAAAAACTACTTGATGGTATCCGAGGAAGAGGTAAATGCGCACAATGTTAGGGTATAATGGTAGCCATTTTTTACCTTAATTATGTCCTCGTAATCATCCAGTCTCTGATATGCTTTAAAAAAAAAAACGTTATTTAGGTAGGAATATGTAAGTAGAATCCCCAAACTATACCTTTCAAGAAATATAAATATACCCAAATATAGGAAAAAATAATTACACGGCAGGTATTAACGATTTATGCCAATTAGGCACCCTTCCCAAAATATTGATTCCGACGATTATGCCACCTGACTTAAAGCAGACAATCATTGCTATTGGAAGTCATTCCGATCTATTTATTCTGCTTATTATTTAGCTCAATCAAGGCCGCTACACCTATCGCCACAACAATGTTTTACTGGAAATCTGTAAATCCCTAGACAAAATGTACAACAGCTGCTCTTACCGCAAACTCTTTGCCGATCTCGATGGTAAACACGTTCCTGGCGGCAATACCACCCCGCCATCCATACTACCAACCACACTTAAGCCAGACATTGTCATAACGACAACATAACCAAGACATCACCATAGTTGAACTAACGGTACCATTCGAAACTAACATAACTAAAAGCCATGACTACAAAATGCAAAAATGTTAACCTAACACGAGATTTGCGTAAGATAGGTTTCAACTCCAAACTCATCGCCTTGGAAATAGGAAGTAGAGGCTTCATAGACAAAAACAATAAAACACAAATCTGCTCCCTATTCAATCTGATGACAAAAACCGAAATACGGCAACTCACCACTCACCTGTCAAAAACAGCACTGGTCTCATCCTTCGTAATCTTCTACTCAAAATACAGCCCCGTTTGGATTGATTCTCAAGATTAAGGTATTTTTTCACATCGCCCATCCCACTCATCAATATTCCCTTGACCTAGCCAAGCAATCGTTATTCCCTGGTTTATGCTTTTCTTGTTATGCTTTTCTTGTTATGTTAAATTGTTAATTATTTAATTTGTCAATTTGTCTCTTACTTCTACATTAATTTCTAGTTCCTTGCTTCATTGACATTTAGACTGTTTCTTTTGATTCGTCTTTCATGTTCATGATGTTCTAAGTTTCCTCCATGTCTTTTGGTTGTTGTTGATTTATGATTAATGATTAAAAGACATGAATTAATAAATAATTCTGCTTATTATTTGGCTAGAGAAGTGTTTGGCACACATTTTGCTGGTACTGGTCCACGTGTGTGTGCTAATTAATATGAAGGCCATGAGATTAACGTAAGTGCCCAAAACGCCATGCATGATGAAAACGTGTACAAATGCGTGTACAAAACGCCATGCATGATGAAAACGTGTACAAATGCAATAGACAGGTGCCTGATCCAAGGGCGGATCCAGGGGGGGGCCAAAGGGGGCCATGGCCCCCCCAAAACGAAACCATTTTTTTTTTTTGACATCGCAATAAAGGCAGGCAATGAGTACACCACCATCTTTTCCTCAAAAAAACATTGGTTAAAGTGGTCAGAAATTGCCTCAGATCGCACCACAGAGCATCTAGAATCCAACAAAATTTCGGGGCCCTTAAGCGGGCCCCGAACCCCACGCCGTAATTTTTTGGACCCACTTTTTGGGGGGACCACAATTCTTTTTGGCCCCCCAAAGAAAATTGTGTTCTGGATCCGCCCTTGGCCTGATCATGTTAAAACGCCACTCAATTTATATGTAAATGAGGTCTTTTGTATTGATTAGGTTAAATTAAAATATTTGGTGTTTTCGTAAAGACACAACACACTACCAGCAACCTCGCTTGCCACGGACCGGCCGTAAAAGAGGAATTTCATCCCAATCTGTTCTTGCACCAAGATCCTCTGAAAGGCACGCGTCATCCAAACACTAGTGCATTTTTCATCAAATGAGGAAAGCGTTTCTTTGAAATTCTCTGGAAAGGCTGTGAAAAATGGCTGAAAACATATTTTTGTTTGTGCCTAACATGATAGGTAAGTTAATTAATTGTTCAACAACATTTATCAAGAAAATAGGCCTACATGTGGTACCACTACACCGTTAAAAGAGCTGGGCAAAATAGTATGGGTAAACTCCATATGCGAATTATTGATGCATGTTTGTTCAACTAATAAGTTGGGTAATAAAACAAAACGACCAACGTACGTTGGGTACATTTTTAGTTAGGTTATTTGGATAGACATTGCCCAATCAATATGTATAATTATTTTGCTTGATCCAACCACGCAATCGGTTGTGTAGAAAGTGGAGTATTTCAGCAGATGGGTATCGGTATCCAATTGTTGGGAATTGTATAGTCTGCCTGAATGCTGGGCCCACTTTCTTGTCTCTCCATTTCTGCGTACAGTTAGCGAACAATCCCTGCTTCCTGTAGCAGAAAATTCCGTGTTAACTGTAAGCGTATTTCACGCTTTAGCGAGGAATGTTTGTTTCTCCGCATGCGTACATCCCGCAAAAGCGCGGTTATCGAACTCTTGAGGGTGCACACCGGTAAAAAGGCCTAAATCCTTCCGCCGAGCTCACAAATAAAAGTTATACCCTCAAACTATTTTATATTGGAGAATTCCGAGAGCGATACAAATGGGGAATTGAAGAGATATGGCAATGAACCCGATTGGGCTCCAAAGTGGCGCTGTTTTGCCATGCTGTGGAGGGAGCGTTGTTCAAGATGGCTACTTTTCCGCTTTTGGGAAAAAAGTGGTCGTCTTCTTTGGGTGAGAATATATCGAAAAGTCAATCGTCAACCGACCAAAAAAATGAAAAGAAAATGAAAGATGACATGTTGATCATCATTTTTCTGTGCAGCTTAAATAAAAATCGAAGCCACTTTTCCCCTGCTCGGTTAATTAGAAAATACTTGCATACAATTCTTCCGGATGAAGCAAAATTGATGAACGAAAAAAAGGTATTACATTTGGCCTTGAATTTGGTCTGAAAATGTTTCTTATATTTTACATTTAGCCAACTGCGTACAAAGATAAATGCATATGAGTAAGTAGCGGGAGGTTTATTCAAACATATTTCATTTATTATAATTGTAACAGTGTAATGTCTAAAAAGACAGCATGTTGAAAAAAAACCCAGCAGTTCCATTTTCGTTTCTTTTTTCCTCTCCAGAAAGTAGCACATGCGTAGGAAGTGGCAAAGCAAGCTTCGAACAATTTAAGGCAAACGTTATCGAACCAATAAACTCAAGTCAGCAATGAGCAATGTAAAAGGTGTTACAAATGTAATAAAAGCAAAGAGGGACTCATCAAGAGTATGCAGGTCTGAACAAATCTCAAAATACAGCCGAGATATCACTGCGTAGAGACAGAATCTTTTGCTGAGCAAGGATGCGCTAAAAGGTCACGTGAACTAGGAGACGCGCACGGAGAAAATACCGAAGTAGCATAATATTATGAACATTTTTATCGCAAATTCTTTTGGAAACCTTTACAGTTAGGTGTCTGTCTGGGATAATGTTGAGGCTTATCTCGAGTGGCCACGTTTGGCGGCGAATTTGAATTTGAGAAATAAAGCCTCAGCTGAGTAAGTAGGCATATTAGGCATTAAAACACTCGACCTCTTTCACTTGAAATGTGTATGCCTTACATGACAAATTGGCAGACCTGTTTGCAGGATGGTATTATTTGGCCTCCACATAATTTTATAGGATGTCGGCAAGGTGGCCTTGTTTTCACCCGTTTCACACAGAAAAACAGAGTTCGGACTGAAGTGGCTATTTGTCTGGCAATTAAGTTATTCACTTTGAGTGAGACATCGACCGAAAAATGCGGGTCAACGTTTAATAATGGAATAAGGCCTTACTTCAGAGCTTTTGATTTATTTGAGAACTGAAAGTAATTCAATTCACATACTGTAGACTAGTTCCAGCTCCAATACAAGAATCGATGTAGGGACTTGAAAACAATACATTTACAGGAAAAGTTCTCGCACAAAAGCAACACCCCCCCCCCCCACACACACACACACACACACACACACACATACATGTTTGTTTTACAACGCTGTGTGGACATTCCTTTGTTTTCGTGTAGGTAAGAATACTCGGTACAAAAAAATAACTTTACTTAAACTGTAAAAAATCTTTCGACCTCAATTTTGAATGTTTCTCTTCATTCTGCTACTGATAACCCTAACCCGAAAATGCCTCTAAACCTGTTTTCTAGAGAGGGCGAAACGTTATGTGGACACGGCTTAGTCCACATAACGTCAACACAACCTGCATTATGTGGACATCTTTTGTTTACATCTTTTGTTAGACAAACTCACCCATGAACGTTTGTTTATGGTGTAAATCGAGGATTTTCTTTTGTTTCTCTTCCCTTTCTTTGTTTGTACTTCAACTTTTTTCGCAATAGCTCTCATCGGTTTTGTACACATTTTCTAATCAAGGTCGTCCTCGATTTGGTTCCTGTTCTCGATTCACCGATGATGTTGCACGTGTGTTTCCTTAAGTTACACCATAAACAAGCTCACACACCCATGTTTGTTTTACATACCTAGTTTGGACATTCCTTTGTTTTCGTGCTGTTAAGAAAAAACTTGTGAAAAACTCATCTTACTCAAACTGTGAAAACTCTTTCAACCCACTTTTTTTTCTATGATTCCCTTTAGTGTTTCTCTTCATTTTGCAACAGATAAATCTAACCCAAAATGCCTCTAAACCTGTTTTCTAGAGAGGGGGAAACCTTGTGTGGACGTGGGCAAGTCCACACAGCGTCGCTGCTACCTGGTTTATGTGGACAAGTCCACACAGTGAATGTAATGCTTGTGTCGCGGGCAAAGTGGGAATTCCAATATTTGCGTCAAATTAGATGTAATTGCTATAGATTAAGGGGGGCTAAACTTATACCCATTGGTAATATTCCTGCATCGTAATACTACTGAGCTTGAGCAAAGTGGTAATTTAGGTCAATTCGGATGTACTTTTTGATAGGTGGGTGTTAAATTGACACATGAGTAAGATTCCATGCACATTGCGCTACTACCGAACCTGGGCAAAGTGGAAATTTCAGGAAATGTTGATTAAATTTTTCCATAGAAAACTTGGTGTTAAAATTACCCATGCGTAATATTCACACACTGCGCTACTACGGTGGGGATGTACTTTTCTATAGGTATGGGGTGTTGAAATGACACAGGGGTAATATTCACACATTGCGCTATTACCGAAACTGGGTTTAGTGGGAATTACGGGCAATTTTGATTTAATTTGCTATTCATAAGGGGTGTTAAAACTACCAATTGGTTATATTCCGTAAATGTTAATGTAATTGCTGTAGCTAAGGGGATTTGAAATTACTATTCCTACGTTGGGCTACTACTGAACCTGGGCAAATGGGAATGTTGTTAATTTGATGTACTTTTGATAGGTAAGGGGTGTGGAATTTTCCCATGGGTAATATTGCCACATTGCGCTACTACCTTACCCGGGCAAATTAAAATGGGAATTACGGGCATTGTGATGTAATTTGCTACAGATAAAGGCTGTGTTCAAAGTACCCATTGATAATATTCCCACATGGCTCTACTACAGAACCTGGGCAAAGTGGGAATTTCGGGCAATTGTGATATAAATTCATTATATATAAGGGCTGTTCAAAGTTGCCGTACTACAGAGCTTGGGCTAAGTGGGAACTACTGGATGTAAGTTGCTATGGAAAAGGTAATGTTGTAGGTTTGTTTAAGGGAAGCGGGAACTTTGTTGTTCTCAATATAAAAAGAAAATAAATAGTAATTAATAGAGGGGGGAATAACAACGCCCAGGGGCGGAACTACAGGCGAATCAAGCGGTGGAGCAACCATTCCCCCCCCCCCCTCCGTTTTGTATTCTTATTTTAATTGGAGGGTAACTACCAACTTGAGGTAATCTAAGGACTTATTAGGGGAAGAACTTTAAATATCATATTTTTGTTTATATAGTATTTACCCAATTATTATTAATTTGGTTTCTGAATACATCATGTGCAAGGCGATTTTATAGCTATACCAAAAATAATAATTACTGGGAACGCTCATTTTTATAAGCTATGAAAAATTACTAAAATTGCACATTCCGTTCAAATAATATCACCATTTAAACGCAATGACCCTAAAACCTGTGTCGTCCCAAAAAAAAAGCAATTTATTGTGTGTTTTGAATGTTTGGAACAACAAAGAAAATGACACAGGATACTTGTTTCAACAACTGTCACCAACTGTAGTACACAATAACTTTATTGACAACCCTGGTTAGACAAATATGATTTATTAAATCTCCTTTTTTTAAGACGGGCCTACAAAAGGACTTTGTTGAAAATTGTTAACGTTTAAACAGAGATTCTATCACTGGTGATGTTTGAAGACAATTGTCATGACGATTCTTGAAATCGCATTTTTTTTAATGAGACAGGTTTTAGGGTCATTGCGTTTAAATGGTGATATTGTTTGAACAGATTGACCAATTTCAGTACTTTTTGCATCTAAAAGCAACTTATGAAATTGGCTTTCCAGTCATTATTATTTTTTGTGCTACATATTTTTTTTAAATATGAAATAAAAATTTTGGTGTTTGGGTTCCGCTTTTTTTTTTTACTCACCCTGTAGCTACACACTTTTTTTGGCTTGAAATTGTTTTCTTGAGCAAAGAGGGCCTATGTCCATCTATTTAGACACTATGAGAAGGGATTATCTTCACCAAAACGCCTACTGAACGGATGTGTTAAACACCCATGCACCATTATACTGAAAAGTTCAGTACAATGGTGGATTTAACTAAAATAAAACGACAAAAATAAAATAAAACACGTTTCCTTTTTGTTTTAGGATATGGTCGTATTGTACTGGCGCTGATATCCTTCTATTACATGCGGACTGACTACGTCACGGCCACTTGGTGTTATCTGCTGAGTTATTTATTGGATGAATTTGATGGCATTGCAGCAAGGACCTTGAACCAAGGTCAGTTTACCACTCCTACATTACACCCTCTTCCTCAAGTGGTCCCCCCGCCCTTTCCTGAAAAGGTTTTCCAAAATGGAAGCCATTGATAGAAGGAGGTACCTGCTGCTATACAGGTGTGGGCGGGATTGCGTCAGCTGATGACATGGCCTGTGAAGACATGTATTCATTTCCACACCAGTTTTCATCGGTTGCTATGAGTTACCATTCACTACTTCAGACTCAACCATTGGATCTTAAGTAAATAGGTCAGGGAACTAGACATTGCAATGTAAGAAGATACGGGATGTCCGCCCGACTAAACGGGATTGAGACTATTATACATGTGACCTGAGCAAGCGTGTTCGTGAATTGGTAGTAACATACGTCCGCTCTAGCAAGTGGGAGGTTGTGGGTTCGAGTCCCTCCTAACTATTCTTGTGAAATATTTATCATTAGTTCTTGGAGAAGGGCTGCGTACACTCTCAAAACGCTGGTTAAAATTTTGTAGGTTTAAAAAGTTGGTTGAAATTTTAACCAACGTTGTGTAAAATTGTCCAATATTGCCCAACGTTTGCCCAACGTTGGTTAATTTTTTTTAACCAACCGTTGGGCTGTTCACCTGTTAAGCAACAGTTGGTTAAAAGTAGTCAATTTACCCAACGATGGTTAAAATCGAGTAAATTAACCAGTATTGGGTAAAAAGACAACTTTTACCCAACTGTTGCTTAACAGGTGAACAGCCCAACGGTTGGTTAAAAGAAAAATAACCAACGTTGGGCAAACGTTGGGCAATATTGGACAATTTTACACAACGTTGGTTAAAATTTTAACCAACCTCTTTAACCAACAACATTTTAACCAAAGATCTTCAAGCGCCGAAGGCGCAAGATGGGGAACTCCATAGAAATTGCGAAATCGTCATGGACGCCATTCCAGTAAGCAAACCATTGTGAAAACCATTGTTTGCACAATGGTTTGCTTCGAGTAAGCAAACCATTGTGCAAACAATGGCTTGCACAATGGTTTGCTTGCTCGAATGGCGCCCATGGCGATTTCGCAATTTCTATGGAGTTCCCCATCTTGCGCCTTCGGCGCTATAAGATCTTTGATTTTAACCAGCGTTTTGAGAGTGTTTACAGTAGTTGTTAAATTATATGAAGGGTAAACCTAGTCTGAGTAAATAAGCCTCTTCAAATCACCTTTTAAAACATCTATAGTCGTGATTTTTAAAAGGAAATTGGTAGGATCCGTGAACTGCTTCCACGTTTCCAATCGGGTCTCCCACTCACCGGAACTAACGTCCAGACTCTTCCTGAGAGACTGACATGGTTCTTGAATCACGGTCTCTGAGTGGGAAAATGTCAGTGCTATGCGCCAGCAGCTCTTGTGAACAGAAAGAGGTGCACTGACCTATCGCCGTTTGCGAGTTAGCCACGCCCCTTAGACAACCCTATGGAGTTTTTTTACACTATGTTTTGTTTGTCTCAGATTTTATTGGCCAATATTTCACAAGCTGCGTTGACGTTATTCTAAAGCCGGCTTCAGGTCGACCTGCGATTTGCTTGCGCCACGACGGAACCGTCAGCATCAAGCAGAAAAAAAATACTCAGGTTACGAAACTGAGAAATCGTGTGATTCTCTTGAAACAAGCGGCATCCCGACGCAAAATAATCTCAACCATGCTCATGTCACCGGGACGCGACGATCCACCACGATTCCACAGCATAGACAGTCATGTGGCTTCCTTGACAATAAGGGAATAATTATGTGCTTGGTCGGTTCCGGTGTCACATGAAAATCCGACTCCTATGAAAATCGGATCCCTTTTCCCTATTATTGGTTAATCCCTCTCACGTGACCGGTCACTTTCCTAATTACCATACTTACGCATGCGCGGTATTACCAATGAGTCCGAATTTCATAGAAACGTAAATTCACGCTACACCGGTTCGGCTCGAGCCATTATCAGCGCGCATTCCCCTGATACGGTCTTAATTGTACATGTACTTGTATTCCCATTGAACAGTTTTACTTCATTGTGTTTTTAAACACCCCTCTAGCTATGGTATGGAATATCCTCTCGCGAGTAGTAGTAAACAATCTCCTTATATGATGATTGACGCGCGCGTACTGCGTGATGTTGCGCGGAACGCGGAGCGCCGGTGAAGTGTGCTGATTGGCTACATAATTGGAAAAGGATGATCTTGATGCGCTAGCGCTCACGCGTGCGATCGCGACGTCGTCGTAGAAGTTGAATTTTTTCTACTCTTGTGACTGTTGATTTTTGTGAGCGCCGACTTATTCCGATCGTCTTAATTTCGTCGCAGTTACACGCAGGTCGCAAAAAATCGGCGACTGAAATGTTCCCGACGGTCGCAGCTCAGACGCAGCTTGATCCTGAAAAGTCAGTCGCCGACTGATCTGTGTCGTCGCAAGGTCGACCTGAGGCCGGCTTATTAACGAACTAAACTATGGCGACTGAGCCTAGCTTGTCAATATCAAATGTTCCGCTACAATATCAAAGAAATTTAATGGATGTCTTTATCTCGTTGAATACAGAGACCAAGTTTGGAGAAATGCTTGACATGTTGACAGACCGATGCGCAACCATGTGTCTCCTAGTGACCTTGTCGGTCTTGTACCCTGACTACATGTTCTGGTTCCAGCTCATTATGACAATTGACATGGCAGGCCATTGGCTCTTTTTCCATAGGTAACATACCACTCTGAATTTGGCCCTAAACCCGCGCCCACTTTGGTTTGTGTACATTATTTTCTCAGTGCACCTGACCTAAAGCTGTGATGTATTGGTCGATGCGCACTGCTTCATGAAGGGTCAACAAGTTGTAAATGTTATTCATAAATATCTTAGACATTTCACCCATTCCTATTGGTCAAGAGCCTGTCACGTGGGTGGTTTTTAAACCGCCGGTAAAACACTGTGATCTGCGCCGCGCCACATCGTGCATAGTACCATAAAAAATAGAACTTAAGTTCTATATCTATGGTATAGAACTTAAGTTATATATCTATGTGTAGTACATGCCGTGCGCGCGTCAATGCGCAAGAGGCACATACCATAGACATTGCCAGACGCTTGCTTCACCAATCACGAAGTAAAATGGTTGAACAAAATCCTCGGAAATTTGACACGTTTTGACATGTTCTCGCTTCTTGCCCGAAAAGGTATTTTTGAAGCCATTTTTAAACCATGCGCTTAAAACTGTTCGAGCGCACTATTATCTCCTTATTTGAACTTGTACTGTCTGGTTACAGTATGAAACAGGAATTCCTCAGAACTGCATTGCAACCGGAAGTGGAAGGAAAACCCTAGAATTCAGTAAGAAACTAAACCTCGAATCACTTTGCCAGGATTGGATTCGAACCTGGTTGAAAGAAGTGCCGGGAGACGAGGAAAATACCACTGTGTCGACCTGACTCCCCTATTAAAAGGCAGAGTGCCTTTTGTAGTGATTATTTCATTCTTAGTAAAATTGACAGAGACATCTTTCATCCTGTGCTATGATTGACACTCATATTGCCACACAATAATTCTGACATGGTTTTGTATGACTGATTTGTTTCTGTATAAATGGTTCATATTAATTTCGAGTTGGCATGTTTTGTTCATAGTTCCATCTTGAAGGGAATTTCCAATCATAAACTGGTTGACATGTCTGGCAACCCCATCCTACGCATCTACTACACCTCAAAAGTAAGTTTTGTTCTGTGCAAAGTTGTATTTTCTGTTCTAGAACTAAATATGAGGTGCACTGCAATATGCGCCTCAGCACCTTGCATACCATTTATAAAGGTGCTTCATAATGAGTCTCACATTTCTCATAACCTTCATTTATCTGTCTTTACAAAAAAACATAATTACCAGCGCCTTGAGTACCTAATTGTTGGTATAGATACGGAGGTGCTGCAATTATGCCCTGATATCTTTTTAACGTTCCTTTTGTATTGCTAGCTGTGTATTTTGTTTGTGAGCACTTTATTGTATTCTCTGCTGTAGTATGTATAGTTGATCCTGTTCCTCTGCAAACAGATTTTTGTCTTTTGAATGTACCCTGTATATATGGCCTGTAATAGGACCAATAACCTGGGTTTTGTGTATGTTTTTAAGGAAAATAAAAACTCACAGTGGTCAGGCTGCTTGTTGTGGTATAGTCAGTCATAGACCGGACAGTTTAAAGCTGACACGTACAGGACTAAAATATGGTGTACCCCTTTTCAGTTTTCATTCAAGTTAATGAACCTATATTCACAGCTCTGCAATTTTGATAATGATGCCTGAATTTTTATAAGTAGGTTTTTCTCATTTTACTTTTCCCCTCGCCTTTGTCTTCCTAGCCGGTGCTGGACGTTTTGGTTTATGGAAATGAGCTGTTCTACATCATGCTGTATCTGCTGTATTTCTCTGAGGGACCTCTGAGTAAGTAGGGGGCCTACATATAGTTGGAACAATGATGCTAACCTTCCGAAGGTGTTGCACAGCTGTGTTTAATCTATAGTGTTGAAATGCTACATCACATTATATACAGGGTGAGTAAAAAAAAAATAAATACAAAACCCAAATGTCTGGACATGGTTTTTAGTGAAGCTCTGCATAGCACTTTCAAAATCTAGCATATGAAAGGCCAATTCATAAGCTTTTTTTTAGTATAAGAATCATTCAAATCACTTATGTACTTTTCAAGTTACGGAATTTTAAATACAACCACCGTTTTAAAGTTATGTCCATGGATCACAAAAGTGTGCGTTCTTTCAGCAATCCCAAAATTCACACACTTCCCTGTGTGATTTGTTTTCGTTTTGCTGAAAGAACACTTTTGAAAGTGCTACATGCAGAACTTCATTAAGACAATGGTCCCGACATTATTTTGTGTTTCGTTTTTTTACGCACCCTGTGCATGGATTTAAATAATCTGTAAGTGCAATACAGTGCAGCTACTACAATGGACCAATCCAGTAAGCACCGCCCCATGGTATTCTGACCAATCACAGCCATGATTTATGTCCGACATGCGTGCACAAAAGTCCGACATGCGTGCACGCGCGTATGATGCGCGCGGCAGGAAAATGCAGTGTGGCATTGGAGAGGAGCACGTGTTAATTTGCCCACGTGCGCAGGGGGAGGGGCTTACTGGATTGGTCTATACTGTATCATCAACCTTTTTTACCCTTCACTAAAATATGCAAACCTTGGTGGCACAATGTACACTTTCTGTATCAGGGCCTTAAAATGTTTCAATACTTAACATAAGAAAATATGCTATATTTCTTGCACGGAGCCTCAATATCTGCCTCATTATACAGTCAAACCTGCCTTAGCGACCCACTGTACAGAAAGACCACCTGTCCGTAACGACCATTTAAAAGTCCCCCGCTGACAAATCCCGTTACTTAAGTCCTGTATAGAAAGACCACCTGCTTCACGCGACCAGCGACCACACATTTTGCTTCCGTAGGAATGCTAAAGTCTGTACAGAACGACCGCAAGCCATGAACAGCGACCACAAAATGCCCACTTGTTTCTGTACAATGGTTGATTCCTTACTCAAAAGAAAAAGCAAGAGCCACATAAACCACTTCAGAGGATTAGTAACTCAACCACAGGATTTCCAGAACATTTTCAAGCTTTATCTGGGTCTGTGGTCCATCAACAATGCCCCTATTGTCAGTGCAGCAGCTTGGATAGCTGAGCAAACAAAATGCACTAGGCATGTGCATGACTTGTGACCTGTCGGTATCAGTCTCGTCCACTCACATACTTTTGTTATCATTAAAATAAATTAAATTAAAATTTGTTTACATATTTTCTGAAAAACAAAAACACACAACATACTCAAGTATTTTTGTTGTCAAGTTTATTGATCAACTTTATTTTTAAATCGTGAAAAAAAGATTTAAATTTGTTTGTGCTCTTGATCGACCTTTGAGCTTTTCAGCAAGTTTGCTAGCATGTGCAATTTTGCACATTGTGTTTACACAACATCGCGTAGATTACATCTGCCCTGTCATTTATAAAGCGAGTTTGTTCCAATATTGCTTTTGAAAAAGAAAGAATATGGCTCCAAATTCTTCAAGCCCGAATCCTGGAAGGAATTATTGAAGTTAGCTTTCACTTCAAATGAAAATGGAGGTCATAACTTAAGTTGATCGTGTGATCGTTGAGAATCTCGGAAAGAGAAACTTCCCCTTCGTTGTAGGACCCTACTTTTACTTGTGGTTGTGCAGTTATTGCTGCTCCAGTACAGCTGATTCTCACATAATTTTAACATAAAATAATAAACACTTTTTGAAATCATTCACATTTATGACTTTTAATTTCATTATTTTTTTTTTAAGAAATAGTTATGTTTTAAACAAATAACTAAAAGAAAGAAGAACATACATGTACGTTTGGATAAGGCAGGTTTAGACTGTAATGACCCCCCGCATTAAGTTAGGGAAGCCAAAGGGAGGGCAAATATTTCCAACCTGTATAGAGAGACCACCTGTCTATAAAGACCGCTTTTATTGTTTCCCTTGAGCGGTCTTTCTGTACAGGTTTGACTGTAGTTTGATTACCTGTTGGGCACACCTGAAAAAAAAATCAAGATAACAACAGCTGTCCTCTAATAAGCAAATGACTTTATCCAGCTGTCATCTGATGCACCAACTTATTAATTCCATTAAGAATAGATTTCCATCTCCTCTGTGTGTTTTGTTTTGTTTCTTTTTGTATGCAGTTCCCGTTGTGTCTGTCGGCATCTTTCGTCTGATCCTCCTCATCTCGGCACCAGTCTCTCTCGCCAAGTTAGCTATCACTCTGCTTCATCTGGTCACCGCCGCTCAGGACATGGCCATCATTGACGTCAGTGAGAGAGAACAGAAAGCCAAGAACCGGCAAGGTTGAGAAGAAAGGCAGGGAAAAGAGTAGGGCAAAGGTTAATATGGTGGATAGTCAAGGTTTAGTGATGGATTAAGCCAGTGGGTATAATTTTTTTCATGTAGACTAGACTAGTCAGAAATTTGGTGTATGTGTAGTGGGCTAGATTTGCTTTAATTACTTTATTGGCAGCTGCACTTATACACAACGCGAGTAGCCAAGCGTATCCTTTCTTTATAAAGACCTTTGGTTCCATGCACCAGGCCCCTCAATTCTGTGTTAGCTTCAGTGGCAGCAATATAGGCCTACATCAACATACTCCGTGATTGCAATCTTCTTAACAAATTACATCGGTGAATTCATTGCTTCGTCGCCATGGTGGGTTTGGCAGTACAGTTGTATACCGCTGATGGTCCTTATTCACGAGTTGGCCATTTTTGTCGAGTTCCCTGAATGTATTTCATTAATTGTTAACTGTTGAATGGGATGGCGCCAGACTATTTATGCAGGCACAATGCAGCCTTCTTTACCGTCATTTGTTTTTAAAGCTGACTTTAAACACCAATGAATGTTTAATTACAAATTATTCACGGAAGTCGGACTGGAATTAATGAGAACTTAACTTGGTCTCATTTCTCTACACAAGTTCCAAAAATCACGATTTTACCTCACTCTCAATCCAATATGGCCGACTCGTGAATAAGGCCCATAGGTGAGCAATACGGTGACGTCGCATTTAATTATCACGTTTATATTTATCGATAAGCCAGGTCTTGGTTCCTTATAAATAAATACAATCCTTATTCATATTTCACCAGCAAAAATACTGCCCATGTTATATTATTATTTCTAGACAAAAGTCTGTCAATTTGTATTTCTGTTTTGACAAAGTTAGCCACACAAACCATTTAAATTATTGTTTAATTAATATATTGGCACCCACTAAATATGCACCCCAAGTAACGTATACGTTTTTCCTCGGGATACAAATAATTATGACTCAAAAGAAAAAGGAACTTTTAGATTTTGAAGTTGAAGAAAAACCCAGAGAACGATGAATATCGGTGGGGCTGGGAAAAATATCTCTAATCCACGTGGCCGTAGCAGGATTGGAACACCAGCGCTGGCAGGTGTCAAAGATGAGAGAAAACCACTACATCAACGTGAGCATTCTGTTTTAGTCAGAAAGTCAAGTATTTTTCCATTTTCAAGTGTGTTGTAGGTTTTCCCGGCCAGTTTCACCAAGTGTTCATTCAGTTTAACGCCTGGCTCATTCACTTTGTATTGACATTGAACGATCACGCAGATGTCATTCGACAATCAAAAAGAATCATTCAGTTTCACTATTCGAGCCATCTATCGACTGTTAGCTTCACTCGTCCTTGTAAAAGATGCATTAAAATAAATAAAAGCATTGTGTTGTTGATTACATTTCATCTGACCCATACGGGGTTTAACGGGCATTCACTTTCATTAAAGGGCAAACACACTTCACATTTTTCAAGCATCTTTTTACCCTAAAAGGGCCGGGTTCTTTTGACCATCTCTCAGCCGGGGGGGGGGGGCGGATTCCCCCTAAGATCTCGGCAACCGAGTACTCGATACATGCATAGAGCAACTCATCATCTCAAAAAAAATTCATTCTTTAATAAATCAATTATAGACTGGAACCATCTTGAGGAAAACCTTGTTCAAGCCGACTCGGTCAAGAGGTTTAAAACCCTCCTCGGCCACGGACCTCATCACATATTGTAACATCCCAGCGCACACTCTCTCTCCGTTGCGTGAATGCCTGAATAGGTTCTGCAACGTACCCGTACAGATACAGATACAGATCATGAATATACCCATGAAATTTCATAACTATAGGTCAATGGCTTTTGGAATTATGGCTAATTAATTATTCATATGTACAAATGGTAATTCTGCTTTGTGTACACGACGTATTTTTTATTTTTTTGTATTTTTGGTATCAAAAGATGCGCAAGGCTCGAGGCTAAACAGTCATAACAGCTCGGGTCGCGAAAAAAAAATTTCAAGGCTATCGTGAAAAAAGTCGGGGGGGGGGGCGGATTATTCCTCACACAAAAGTACACCGCAAAACACAACTATTCGCTTCAGCAACGAGGCAACAACAATACTACTGCGCATGCCCCGCCCGGAAGAACGGGCCTCCCCGGCTGGCCACCAGGGGCTCCACTGCGCGGCTCCACCGTGGAACCGCGCTGGTGCCCTCTGGCGGCCGACCGGCACGGACGCCACACTATTATACAACACTCTCCCATAGTCTAAGCACACAGCCTCACGATCGAGGACCGTTTTCAACAAAAACCCAACTCTCGAGGACTGAAAGGATCTTTTGTTCTCCCTTTGTGTGTCTGTCCTCGATCGCAAAGCCATGCAAGAGCACACGTATGTCATGAATAATTCAGTATGTGCTAGGCAAGTCCCATAAGGAGCGGAAATGTTAATGATATTCTTTACCACCCTCGGAAAAACGTTTGCAAACGGGTTACACCAAGGATTATCAATTAAAGTTTGTTTGAAGCCTTGGTCACTTTGATTTGTACATTTTCATCAATCTTATTTTTCCCATTGAATGGAGCTAAAATTCCTGAAACTTGTCTTGGCGTGTTGTTTTTTTAATATTTCCTCTATATCAGTAATTCCATCTTATGAATGTTTTCTTCAAGGGTTACGTGGCATCTCCAAGATACCCATCCTAAATAAGCCATAAGAATTTAATATATGCTTTGCAGAATCCGCTTGGGAGCATGCAGAGACTAATGGCTATTGGAAGTCATTCCAATCCATTTATTCTGCTTATTCTGCTTATAGAAGGTTATTATGCTCATTTGCTTTGAGACGCAAATTCACCAGTTGAATATTTATGAAATTTCAGTAAAATCTGGGCATGAAATTATGTACGGCTGAGCATAACAACACAAGGTCCAGCCCAACACCTTGACACAGTGCATCCTCCCAAATCAGCCACACACTTTTGCCATATAACCTCAATCCTGCAAAATCTTCCATTTTGCAAAGACGATTTTGGAGGATTTGGGAAGGTTAGGGTTATTGTGGAGTGCTTGTATACTTTATGCATACATGAGGCAATCATTAATTAAAGAGCAAATAAAATGCCTTCTCAAGAATATGGAACAAAAGCACCAAGATGCATGGCTTCCGTGCACAAGATCCGTCCCCTCCTCTCTTAGAACTGTCACCCAATTTCCCCCTCACAAATCGAAATATCAAAAAGATTTTTTTTAAAAGGGGAAAAAAACTCATATCCTTTAGCGTATAAAATGAAACTTCTGGCCACTTAGCTCTACACCAATTGATATGGTCGTCACCATAAATTGCCAATGGTACAGGACGGAGAAGTAACATTTTCAGAAACGTTCCGGAAGCCAGTCAGTGGTCAGTATTGTGGTGTCTATGCTAGGCAATTCTAAAAAAAAAAAAAAAAAAAGGAGATATACAGACACTACATCTACCTAACTTGTGGGGTTTTTTTTGCATTGTTTAGATCCCAAGGTTGGGTCTACCATAAAGAGCAGCGACGACAACTCTCCCAATCTTCATCATCTTGACACCAAGTTGGTCGAGAAAGTTGCTCTGAGGCAGTCGGTGGAACAGTATGGGTCAGATCTGAGTGCTGTTTCCTTTTAGAATCACCAAAAAGACCCAGATACGAGATACAGCAAAGGAACAACAATGTCTGACCTCATTTGAGTTCATGTAGACATTGGGAGCGTGCCAATTCAAAGTAAAACAATTATTCTAGTCGTAAAAAAAAGTTGTTGTTTTTTTACGAAGTTCAGGGATAACTAAATGGATGAAATTTTCTCAAGGTATTCAAATAGGATCTGGGTAACTTTGCTGGCAAAATATTGAAACATTTTGATGTAGAAAGGTTAGATTGCAACCCTGACTGCAGCATTAATGGGCAATATTGGAAAACATTAGCTAACAATCCAGGAAATCGCTTCCATTTTCCAATGTGTTGTTTCACACATTTAGTCCCAGTTGGGAAAATGTTGTCGGCACTGAGCAGCAAACATGAGTAGACCTGATAGAGATTACGGCCCATGGCCTATAAAGGCCAAAAGTGAACAACTGAAAAATGGACAAAGTGTTGAAACAAATATACCAGACAGGTATCAACTGAGCATTTATTCATTCCTCATCTTGCTTGGTATAAGCATAATTCAATATACTCATAGGCCTACAGTTGGCCAAGGATTTGAACATGACACTTTATTTTCTGGTCTATACTGAAGTCACAATTACCTGTTTTTACCTTGCTTTTAATGGAAACAAATCTTATTGATTTAAAATTGCAATTAATTTACTCAAGTATCATATCCTTCAGTGACATCCTGTCTGATAAAATAGTTTGTGCTGTGCAGATTATCAACATATTTGATATACTTTGCAATGTAATCAGTGCAATAATGAAAGTTTTAAATATTGAAATTCTTCTCAAAACATACAACAATCATTGATGGATCCAGACATATATTTTTGTATTAAAGAAACAAAAAATATGATGTTTTTCTCCGTAAATTACAAAAATTTTCATTTTATTCAAATAAAACTGTTTTGAGTTTTATACCAAAATCTAAAATATTTCTACATATCTTAACCTATTTTTTAGTCAACAACCTGGATTAATCAGTAATTTAATCAGTGTTTAAAACAAGTTTGTGCAGTCTAGGTGCCATACAACATACATGGTGCTATATACGGTAAATTTGTAGAAATTTCTGGCGTAAAGGGTGAATCTATGAACTTTTGCAAACTAAGTGTTTATGCGGTCATGTTCATCAGCTGCAACAACCAATATTGTCACATTTTTTTTACGAAAGAACAATTATTTCTTCTAACATCGTTGCATATACTTACTTAGCCAACACAAAACCAAACTCTATTATATCCAACATAGATTTAAAACACTAAAGTTAACAACACTCTATCACTTACGTCACCCTAAATAGCTTCCCTTACTAATGTTAGTACCAAACATTTGTGCAACAGCTCAAAAACACATTTTATCCAATACATCTGCGGAGACGTATTCCACAAACAGTGATAGTTTGTCTGTGGTACTGTAGTTCCACGGTGGATGTTCATGATTTTAAAAATCTTCCATAAACTTCAGCGAATATCAATAAAATGTTGTTGCAATTTTTTACAGATTTTTCATTGAACGGCTTTCGAGAATGTAGATATCGCTTTTCAAAGTTGTTTGTATCGAATAAGAATTCTCTGGGTTTTTTACGAGTTAGAGCGAATGATGTTTGAGTCATTGACATTCTGACCGATAATTATTTTGTGCCGTGCAATTATTGTCGTATTTAAAATACATCAGTGAATTTTACAAAATGTGTAGTTAATAAACTCTTTCATATTCTAATTAATTCTATATACCCACTAATAAAAAAATCAGTGATGGATCCAGATGACAAGTATCATACTTTTTCATCAACTAAAAGGTACATTTGTTTATTACTTTTAATGTTTTCAATTAATTAAAATAGAAACAGGTACTTTTAAAATTAGATTATCAAAAGCACCTTTGTTTCTATATTTCCTCTCCAGAACCTGGATCAATCACTGATCTTATATATTTCTAAAATTATGTACAATGTCTGGTGTAACAATACATGTTTATACATTTTATTAATTCAGTAAGTCCACATTTGATTTGCTTCAACTCACACAAGACGTCTAGACTTTGAACATTTCATCCCCCAACTAGTTTAAAGTAGAACTCTTTTTTATACTTCAAGTACTATATTTTACCATCAGTTCAAGCCCAAATATAAATACATAGTCGATATGATATTTTGACTATAATAACTCAAAAATTGAGTAACCAATTTCTAAAGGTAGTTACTCAAAACAATGTAGACAAGTCATTACAAAAACACATTTGTAAGGACAAATCAAACTATGTGTTTGTATCCTTCCAAAGACTACCCACCCTTTCGCTGAAATATGTACATGTATTTTACATGTCGTGCCACTGCTGTGCACCCTTCTGTTACCAATATAATTATAAAGATATCATTTCACGCAGCTGCAAAACTAAGTGTTCTAATTTAATTGTTGCAAAAACCAAGTCATCACATAAATGAATAGAGCAGGGCTAGTCTTGTAGACAACTCCTGTCCGGGTAAGAAAATAAGCCTCAAATGTAAGATGGTATTAAGTACCTTTACGAAGTATGTCTGAGACACTTGACAGTTGGATAGTGATCTGATTATTTGGACAAAAGAAAGATGCTGAAAACGTCCGAGTAGGACTAAGACTGAAGTCTAAATCCTCATGTATTTCGTGCTTATCTCGTTTACGTTGCATGTCCTAACTTATTTGAAGTATGCAGTCTACACATATTAGCTTGGTGCTAATGTGGTATTCACGTGACATGTGGCAACGCAGAAGACCACTCGACTATAAACTGTCGTATACATGTATAAATGTAAGCAAACATCGTGCTAATTATTCATCAACTTCTGATCCTAAAATACTATTGCCAAATGTTTCTTTAGATATTTGAATGCACATCTTTTGTTGACAATTATTTGATCAAATACAACCAACCAATGTTGATATTTTGAAGTGTTTTGTTAGACCAAGGTTGGTATCAAATCGACTTTTAGTCACACTTTTTACAAAGGTTTTATTTTCATAGAACAGCTTTTGAGACTGTAGAAATTGCTCTTCCAACTCCGCCATACAATGTGATCCGCAAATTGCCCTTGCCCATACCTTCCATTTAAATTTGAGTTATAGCATTGATTATACCACCACGCCCCTTCGTGCTGTCTAGCACAAATCCCATACATGTATATGTCATTGTCCTTGTCTTTAGTTGAAAACATCATTCCATTGTGGTATGTGAGCGAGTCTCCTGCAGTGCTGTAAATATTGTACGGGTTGACTCTGAGTGTGTAGTTGTCTCCATGAATCTGAAAGTCGTCATATTCAGCCCATGCCGTGTTATTCTCCCAGTCCTCTAAGTCAATTCGTAGTTGCCACTTACCTTCAGTCTCAGTCAGGCTGCGTAGGTTGTCATTACCAAGCCAGAACTCACCAGACAAGCTGCCAAAGCCAACCTGGTAGCCAGCCCAGTTGCGGTAGAAGTCAACGCTGCCATCCTGACGCCTCTGAATGACGATCCATCCTCCTCCATCAGTCTCCATGTCACAGTAGACCTGTAGCCCATCATTGAATCCAGCTGGGAAAATCGTGTAGATACCGCTCACATTATGACCAGTTTGAAGGACCTCATCACAACCTCTGAACTGAGGCACAGAGAAGAGAGATGTGTCTACATCGTCATCAAAGTACACACTGCCGTAGTGTGTAATGAAATCAGCAGGATATTGCATCCTTGTCAAATTGTTCATTTGACAAAGTTGTTCTGTTTTACAATAATTCACAGATCGGCAGTTGTTATCAGCATGACAGTAGCTAACACAGCGGACAGTAGACTTGACCTGTTCCTCTCTAAATGTCGAAGTCTGAAGTGTACGATTGTCTGCAGCGATAAAAACACGTTTGCGATGGAAACAGTTATCTCCTTGGAAACCATCAACCAAAACCAAAATTGTAACGATCACCAAACTGATGCTGGATATCTTGCTACCAGGGTCATATAGACATGAACTTTCCATTGCTAACTTATTTTTTTTCTGTTAAGCAGATGTGAATAAGCCTAGTAGCGAGTTGCTGAAACACCTTGCAGAACAATCATTGGTAGACGAGCATACAGAGAAGTGTAGGCGTCCAATTGATGCAAAACACTGAAGTGTTCTTGTTACTGTAGTCACAAGCAGATGCCACAAGTCATATAATCTTGCCAATGGACGTGGGAAAGCGTCATTGGTTGCCTCTAGTCACTAATAATGCTAATAATGCTAAAAAGCTAATAAACTGCGCCTAATTTTCTTAACTCCCACCATTACTTGTAGGCACGCTTGAGACTGGTAATTGAAATGAAGGTCACTTGATGGAACTACTTACAGATCAGTATTTATGGGTGCTCAGTCTACACGTATGTCCTTGGCTTATTGTCGTTTATTTCGAACGTGCAGCAAGTGATCGTGGGTCCAATTTAAAAACTCCATGATCGCAAGAACAAAAAGATAGGAGTCTTGCAGTTTACATCTCATTATTTCAATAGAAGCGAAGCATATAGATGGCGTAGTTATTCTTTGATATCTTATGGTCGATTTGCAAAAATAAATCCGCCAAACGTTTTGTCAACGACGTGCAAATATTGAATCCAACATGGCCGAAAACACCCATTATTTTAACTAAAGGAACGATTTCATCAACAAAACTGCATGTGTATCAATATCAAATATTTCAACTAGCCCAGCATCCCTTATTTTTGCCAAATTCAGGAAGTTAAAGGCGTCTTCACTGGTGTAAGTTCTTGCATTCGTTTGGAATATTTTCCCAGGAACTTTAGAACATTATCAAAACGAAATTCGTCACACTGCAATTTCCAAAGGTAAACTTCATTGAACATCTTTTAAGATTGTAGTGATTGCTCTTCAAAGTGTATTATGCATACCGTGTGATTCAAACATTTTCCTTTCCAATATCTTGCATTTAATTAGGTTTGTAACAATCGGCATGTACCTTTACGTTGTCTAGCACAGAGGTTGGGGCTGTTTTCATTGTCTGTGGCTTTTGTTGATCTCATCATTCCATTGTGATAGCTTGCATTGTTTTTTGTAATAAGAAGGCACAAGGCCATGAATGTAGCAGCTACATCTACAACAAGCAAAAGTGACAGGAATTAACAACAAAGAAATAAACTTTTGACCACTCGCTTCAATTGAAATAAAATATAACAATGGAAAAGCCGCACGTTGAAAAAGAGACCGTTTTTGGTAAATTTCCAGTTTCAACACATTTGAAAATGAGATCGTTATAAATATTTTCACAATTGTTAAATTATTAAATGGTTGCATTGTGTTAACAAAAACGTATTCAATCATGTTATACAGTTTTAATAATGCTTTTTACCACAAAATCTCCATTTTTTATATAATTTATATTTTTTTTACCACTTGGGTTTTATCTTCAAAGAACATCCTTTAAGACAGTAGTGATTACTTTTCCAGGTTTGCCAAATTATTCCATTATAAGCCCCGTGCTTTTGCCCATGTAAGCCATTCAAGTTGCAATCATAACAATCTTTGTACCACCACGCCCCTTTACGGAGTCTGGCACAAACTCTTGAATCTTTGTCATTGTCCCTGTCTTTGGTTGAAAACATCATTCCATTGTGGTATGTGAGCGAGTCTCCTGCAGTGCTGCGGGTATTGTATGAGTTGACTTGGAGTGTGTAGTTGTCTCCATGAATCTGAAAGTCGTCATATTCAGCCCAGGCCGTGTTATTCTCCCAGTCCTCTAAGTCAATTCGTAGTTGCCACTTACCTTCAGTCTCAGTCAGGCTGCGTAGGTTGTCATTCCCAAGCCAAAACTCACCAGACAAGCTGCCAAAGCCAACCTGGTAGTCAGCCCAGTTGCGCGTGCGGTAGAAGTCAACGCTGCCATCTTGACGCCTCTGAATGACGATCCATCCCCCTCCATCACTCTTCATGTCACAGTTGACCTGTAGCCCATCATTGAATCCAGCTGGGAATATCGTGTAGATACCACTCACATTATGACCAGCTTGAAGGATCTCATCACAACCTCTGAACTGAGGCACAGAGAAGAGAGATGTGTCTACATCATAATCAAAGTACACACTGCCGTAGTGTGTGATGAAATCAGCAGGATTTTGCATCCTTGTCAAATTGTTCATTTGACAAAGTTGTTGTGTTTTATGATAATTTACAGATCGACAGTTGTTATCAGCATGACAGTAGCTAACACAGCGGACAGCAGACTTGACCTGTTGCTGTCTAAATGTAGAAGTCTGAAGTGCACGATTGTCTGCTGCAATAGAAAGTTTCTTGATGTTACTGCAGTGTTCTCCGTACAAACCTCCAACAGTTAGCATAAGTATTGAAACAATCGCAAGTGTGAGCTTAATCATCTTGGTGATAGAGAAGTGGCGTTTTTGTCCGTTTTCCATGCTGGCACTTCTATATCATGTATGTTGTGCTAACTACGTATATGCTGCATTCAGTGCCAAGTTTACAAACTGCGGAGAGATTTGTTGGACTGTAAATAAAAATCCCGCTGTGTGCAGCATCAAACCACCAAGAGCATGTAAGCTTGTACCAGTGTTAGAGTCATGTCCCCAACCTGAGAGCCGAAGCTTACCAAAATATAAATTATATCACGTCACAAGATCTTGACATGGACGTGGAGAAAGCTGATAGGCCGCTTCAAGTCACATGTTTAAAACTTTATTGATTCCCTCATCTCCAGACGTATATGGCATCGCAATCAATACCGTTTTGTAGCATCCCATTGCTGCCTGCGCTCTTGAAATGGTTACAAAATATTCTTCAATAAACCTCCGCGACGCAAATTGCATTCTGCACAATATCGTGCAGTTCACTTAACGGTAATTGACAGGAATTGATTCACACGTCGTCGCCAAGGCGTCCTTTGTTACCAGTGAACAGCAATTTCCCTCGCCTCTACATTTGATGGATGCTGCTGATCAACCACATATGAAATAAATAATTTGAGATATCTCAGGCTTGAAGTTTCATGCATTTTTTTAGTCTTTTTCTTTAATTTCAGTCATCATTACACAGAGATCTAAAATTAAGGGGTGAATAAAATAAGACACCATTTTCAATTATCATGCTATTTCATGGTTCTGATGGTTAAACAGTGTGTATCAAAGCAGGTAAATTGTGCGTCAGTGTTTTTGCCGCTCATTACTTTCTCACTACTTTCTCATTTTTTAGTCAGGTGATAGACACCACAAAGCCGTTATAATAATAATGTGGTGATAATATAGCGCTTTACACTGTGGCGAAGTGGCCGCTAACGGCGCTATGCAGCGACCTAGTTTTGGCAGCTTTTTGGGGTAGCCTGATGCACAGCGCGTGATCGCTGCATGATCAGCTAATGTACACTAGCGGGGTGCCGCGCTTCCGCTAGATGGGTGGAGTTGACTGTTTTGCATCGTTTGTCAAAGAGAAATCTGGATAAGTCACACTCTGATAACTACGAAGCCCCTAAAGGGACATCCAAAATTATTTTTTTTATCTCGTGCGCACGACATAATATCTCGTGCGCACGACATAATTATCTCGTGCGCACGACAAACGACGCACACGACATACATCTCGTGCGCACAAGATAATCATCTCGTGCGCACGAGATAATTATCTCGTGCGCACGAGATAATTATCAGTATTAACGGAGCTTGCTGCACGTGCAGCGGACGAGTTTGTGTGTAACGAAAGCAGCGTGTCAGGCACTTTGCGCTATACATTTCAAGTCATATCAGTTAAAGGACAGGGATGGGTTTTTTTAGGGGGCCGCCACCGGTGATTAATTTTGTCAAGTTTTGCCTTTTTCTTAGAGAGAAGCGTTTTATGCAAAAAAAAACCGGTAGGTGCTGGCAAAAATCAGGGAATTGGTGGACAATAACAAGAAAATTGCCGACGTGAATTAACATTGATTTAAAGGGGAAGGAAATGGGGATTTGCTATCAGCATCAGCAGTTTGAATGGATGCGAGTCAGACAGTCTTACTCTCCCTCCCATTTTAAACAAAGTCTCATTATAAAGAATGAGTGGGAAGTAGCGAAGGATGGTCGACCTTTAAGGTCTCCAAGGGTGGGAATAAAGTAAAAGCCCCTGCCCAGAGCAATCAGTTCAATGATTGAGCATTTTGGATGCAATTGGGCTCGAAAGTGGCGCTATTTTGCCATGTTGTGGAGGGATCGTTTTTCAAGATGGCTAATTTTCCGCTTTGGGGAAAATAGGGGACGTCTTCTTTGGGTGAGAATTTCTAGAAAAGTCAATGGTCAACCCACCAAAAAATGAACAGAAAATGAAAGATGATATGTTCATCATCATTTTTCTGTGCAGCTTATATACATGTGAGAGTTCTGAGTATTTTTAAAAGAATTTTGAAGTATGGGCATTTAGCACTGGTGTCTATGGTAATTTTATACAAGGTTGCACTGTCACAAGAGGGCGCAATTTTGTTTCTTTATATTTAATATTCATTAGGTCTTCACGGTCCGCCTCCCTTTTGTTGATACCGCCTATAGTGAATATGTTAATTATGATTGATTTTGGGGAGTGGTATCCCGAATAAGGCCGTAGCTGGAAAGTTTGAAAGAATTTGTGGATTTTTAAGTTACATAACATTTAGAGGGCTGTGGGTGGTATGTGAATTTCTAAGGTTGGAATTTGCATTTTCTAGACTGACTTGCTGAAGTATTCACATACTTTGAGGGCCGTAGAATTTTAGGGAGTGGTTGAGGGGAGAAGCAAACAGGTTGGAGGTGCGATAGCACATACTGAGCGATAGCTCCTGATAATTTAGTTTTTACTAGATTTCATTTTGCGGATTTGAGAATCCTGGTTTTGGTGTTAGCCAAAGTGTCAGCGTTAGCTGTTTTGAGCTGTTTTCAGCGTTTGTTACCTGTGTATAGCTGTTTCTCACAAGCTGTTTAGCCAGCGAGATTTGCACCCCTTGACGGTGTACCGGGTCTTAGGAGCCAGTATATACTGTAAGTTGTATTTAAATGATTTTTCTTATTGGTTTAATGTAATTATTTCATTTCAACATCGGTAAATGAGTCAATTTTGTTGTAATGTAGATCGTGCATATTTGAATGGGTTAATAACATGGTAAATTGCTTTTTGAGACACGCCCCTTTTGGGAGGATATTCACACTGTTTTGTGGTCCATTTGATGTACTTCAGTGAAGCCTGAAAATACTAGGAAGTAGGTGTTTATTAGTGTATTTAATATTTTCAGGGCTCCTTATTGTGGATTTAGAACCACACCCGACAAGTTTGACCGGACCGCCCATTGGCTGGGACCGCTGTGATTTGTCTCACTGCACTGTGGAGCCTTCCTGCTCTAGACACTGAGGTCGTGGACATCTGGCCCGCCAAGTCGCCTGTAAAGGAGCGTCATCCCCCTCCGATTCGCCAGTGCAAGGATCCCTTCGTGGACCGCTGGACGATTGCTCACCGAACAGTGAACTGATTGAGAACTGACCTTCGGGTATTATCCTCAGGTTGTAGATTTATAAGTATTGGGAAAGTAATTAGGGTCTAGGAATTGGATTAGTCAAACAGTACCCCCCCCCCCTTCAGTGAATTCTGGTATATTTTGTAGGTAGTGTAAATAAATATTTAGTTTCTTTTGTAAATATCAAACAGGTGGAAAGAATCTCATATTAGGGGATTCTTTACCTGAAACACGTCCTGATTTTCAAATTCCTTTTTTTCCCCCTCATATTCTGATGGTTTTATGATTGCATTCTGATATTGACATTGCATTTGATATTCCAATTGCATTGGTTTTATGACATTGCATTTACTTGTTTGTAATTGTTCAGATTTGGTGGCTGTACTAAAAGGATTGTAGATGTAAGGTACACTCTCTTTCTATACAAGTACAGGGTTATTTCAGGAAGGGAGTAGTGCGCATGCATATCATGAGTCTGACCCAGGGAACAATTTATTTCTGGTTGACAGTTTCGCACGCGTTGTAGGCACCGCGATAGATAACTTTCGATGCGCGTTACGGTAGTTGTTCGTCTTTTTTTGACGCTTTTGTTGTTGTTGCTAGTGCATTATCCCGTCAAGATGGCACATGCCAAGGCATTTGAAGACTTTCTGACATTAGGACAGAATCTAGGTCTCACGGGAGACACATTGATAACCTTCGCTAAGGAACGCGAGCAAGTCAAGCGAGATTATGAACACGCATTGGCAGCACGAGAGAAAGAAGAACGCGCGAATCGCAGAGAGCATGAAAAACTGATGCAAGAATATGAACTTAAGAAGCAAGAATTGATCAATGCGAAAGCAGGAACTAAAGAGCCGGCAACCGAGCACAAGCCGCAAGCGAAGCTCCCTAAACTGCCGGAGTTTAAAGATGGCAAAGACGACTTAGACGCGTACTTAAAGCGATTTGAGAGATTTGCAACCATCATGAAATGGCGTAAGGAGGATTGGGCAACCTCTCTTTGTGCATTGCTCACAGGTAGAGCCCTAGAGGTCTATGCGCGTATGCCTAGTAAAGCAGCTGATGATTATGACGCTGTTAAGAAGGCGTTGCTGAATAGATATCTGTTGAGTGAGGAAGGATTTAGGATTAAGTTTAGATCAGGTAGGCCAGAGTTTGCGGAAACTTATACGCAGTTTGCAGACAGGATTTCAGGCTACTTGACTAGGTGGATTGAGTTAGGAGGTGTAGCTAAGACATACGAAGGTTTGTTTGAATTGATAGCGCGTGAACAAATCTTGAAGGTTTGTAGCAAGGACTTAGCTTTGTTCCTTAAGGAGAGGAAGACTACTAGTTTGAGTGAACTTGTAGGTTTAGCAGATCGCTATGCAGAGGCGCATAATGACCGTTACCTCCTTAATCCTAGACCTAGTGTTAGTAGGGATAATAAGGGAAGTAAGGCGCCGAGTGCGACTAAGCCAGGCGCAGCATCACGACCAAACGTGAGCAAAGAGCGGATAGATCAGCTTAGAGCAGAAAACAAGTGCTTTGAGTGTGGACGTTTTGGGCACATTGCGCGCAACTGTCGGAATCGCAACCGCCAGGGTAACAGTGCAAACACAACTTACAAGAAAGGTGCAAGTTTAGTTGTTCAGGAGAATAATCAGGTCAGTACTGGTAGCT